GATGGTGAAATTCCCGAGGTCAGATAGGAATATATTTGTGAAGAAATAATTGAATGTTGGTTGTTGGAATTGATATACTCGCTCCGTGTAACAAAGCTGTCAACCGCAAGCAAGTTTAACACGTTAATACCGGAGGTTTGGTAATGTTTGACCCAAAAACCACTGCTAATCATATGTTTGAGACCCTATGTCATGAGCATCTCAAGGATGATTGTGCATACAAACTCCAAGTTTGTATGTCACAAAACTGCCCTCTACGACCATCGGGTTTTTGATACATTTTGAGCTTGGTCGCACACTATCGTCTGTGCGACCCGAGTGAGAGCACATTATGCACGCACCTGTGATCGGACAGCAGTCCACTCGTAGTTGATGGAGATCCTGTGGGATGTGCCAAAACAAAGGTTCTGCAGTGCGAGGCCATCACATGCACTAGTCACATATTAGAAGAGCTGGTGATTCTGTGTTGTGATTTATTACACGAGGCAGAATTCAGTACAGGAACTTGGAAGGATCTGCTTGAGGGAATGTACACAACGTCCATTGTAGCAACAACACATTCCTAAAACAAACCAAAAAACACACCAAGCATTCCAGAAAGTACCAAATTCTTGTTGACCTGTACTTATCGAATTCGTTGAGGCTAATCAGTTTTATGCATCATGTCTCGAAGTTGGACCGGTGCAGCACCTCTTACGAGCATGCTCTGCGCTTCTAAGAAGCTCGGCTTCACTTTCAAACTCTGATATTCGTGAATCCTGTTCGTGAATTCGAGAGTTCAAGAACCGAATTTGGAGTGGTTGTTGTGGCTGTTCGTCTTGTTGGCGTTGAAACGTCGAGAGTCGAGATTCCAGCTGCTGCATTTGAGACTGCTGCTGGTGATTTAAATTTTGTTGACCCTAGTGCTGGCTTGTCAACTGGGGAATTTCAGATTCCAACTGCTGATTTTTGAGTTGCTGTCGATATGCTTGGCGTTGCGATTCTCTCATGTGCTAGCAACAGAAACACAAGCAGAAGAAGACGAAGACGAAGCGGCAGCAGCAGCAGCAGCAGCAGAAGTAGAGGAAGTAGAAAAAAGAGGAGCTCGGCGATTGCAGTGTGAGATCGGGGCAGCAGGATTTGAGCAGCGCGTGTTTCTCAGGAATTTAGTTTTTTGCAGTCGTTCAGCCACGAGTTCAATCGCTGCTAAGCCCCTTGCTGTGCACGCCTGCATTGAACGACCGTGTCTACACAGGAATATCCACAGCATTTGAAAGTCAATACACACTGAATGAATTACAGCTCGTGGCATATATTTTGTGTTGTAGGGGTTCTAGGGGCAGTGCGGCCTTGTTCCACTACGATGCTGTTCGAGAGTCGAGGTTACAAGCTTCGGCCCTGAAGCCTGATCCCATATAGTTTCCTCACTCATTCTGCTCTGAAACCATTAGTTGCTCTGAAAGTCTGCCTCGCAGCAGCACAACTTGATAGTTCTCCCGGTTGAAACCTTCTCTCGTACCCCGAGAAGGTCAGTGAGCACACTCAACTGGTGTGTTGTGTGGAGAGCAGTTGTTCGCTGGCTGGCAGGCAGCAAGTTCGTTGCTTGTTGTTCCAGCTGATTGTTCCAGAGTTCCTGAGAAGGTGCTTGAGACAGAGAATGGCAGCTTCTAATCCGATGGGTCCATCAACAATGCAAGTTTTGCGGATGACGGTGGCCGTTGCCATGTTCTTCCTGAGCGGCGAAGTGGACGCTACTTCATACAACCTGCTTCGACCGAATTATTACTAGGGCAAGTGCGGCAAATATGATGTCGAATCGGTCATTTACTATGCCATTGCAAAGGCATTTCAACAGGACAATGGAGTCGCCCCCGGCGTTGTGAGGCTGGCCTTCCATGATTGTTTCGTTCGTGTAAGTGTGGACTCTCCCTTCGTCCAGTGCTTGTGTAGCTAGTTTGTGTAGGCTTCGTCAATGTGCTTGCGTCTTGACGAGTTTACGGGTACACGTTTTGAGGATCATGTCATGTCTGGAATGGTGTGGTTTTGCACCGAAATTACTTTTCAGAGAGTGAGGATCCATCTGAAGTTGGACGTTGCTCTTCCTTCCAGGGCTATGACGCCTCATTGCTGCTTGACATATCCAATTCTGAGAAGAATGCAACCATTAACCTAGGGCTTCGGGCGAGCGCTTTCAACGCAATCGACGCTGCCGAAGCCGCCGTGGAAAGTGTTTGTTCAGAGATTGTGTATGGCGGTCTAAAAGACGGAACTGTGTCCAACTCTGCCGACCACCCCCCCCCCCCCCCCAAACAACCTGCCAGTGCCAACAATGACGCCAGCTCAGATGATTCCTATTTTCGCAGGCAAGGGACTGAGCGCCGATGATTTGGTGGCTTTGTCAGGCGGTCACACCATCGGAATTGCTCACTGCGCTTTCGTGAACCCTCGCATCTACGGGAACAACACGGATCCTACGATTCCAGCCGACTTCTTGACGTCGTTGAAGAGTCAGTACCCTGCGGATTCTGTCACTACTAACCCACCCATTGGAGCCCCGATCGACCTCGACCGGGTTTGAGCAACCCAGTTCCACTCGCAGTATTTCCAGAACATTATCGACAGGGAGGGCTTGCTTACATCCGACAAAAGTCATCTGGACGATTCCAGAACCAGTCAAGCCGTATACAAGAACAAAGGGAATTTCTTCAATTGGGAATTCGGATGGGCCATGCAAGCCATGGCTGGAATCGGTTTACTCACTGGCGATGAAGGCAAATCCGCACCAATTGTCGGGCTCTTAACCCTTAGATGGAGACTTGCACTCGACGTGGTTCATGAAATTGGAATTCACTCATGGACGCTAGAATCATGAGTTTCTTTAGGAGAGGTAGTGAGTGACTCAAGCTTAGATGACGAGGATGGAGTGCTTTTGATGTATAAACCGCATTCGATGTACCAGTGTTGCTGTCAACATGAACTGTGCAGTTTTGTAGATGGATCATCGTCTGTAGAGTATAATGTTGGTGTATCCTAAGCGCAGTGTGGTAGAAGAATCATGTTTCAATCTAATAAGCTGGGTCATTCTTTCTTGTACTCTTGAGTTGCGTAGACTCCCTCGTGCTGCATATTCTGACATTTGAGCCGAAAGGGGTGATGTCTCATTGCAGCTGTGACATCTTGTCGCTCAATATGAACTGTCCCGTTCGCTCTAAACTAGGCAACCAAACTGGGGAGAAATCCACCCTTAATGAATGATGAGTTCTTTCGCAACCTCAGTTTGCTAGTAAAAATCTTTGAATTGGAGTTGAAGCTTCAGAAATGAGATGAAAGTAACTGGGCAGAAGTAAAGTCCAGTAGAGTAGCATAATGATGATAATGTCCCCGATGACATTTACAGATATAGAAAACCCACTCCAAAAGCTACATGAACTGCTACCACATATTCCACTCATGAATGTTGCCAAAGACATAGCATGCAGTGATCATGGTACCATTCCTAAACGCATACAATTTTATACCCAAGGAATAAATAAACGCAGAAATTAAAATCCGCCTCCATGTAATGACGGTATTCTTTGACCCCATCATGCGGAACATTTCTTCTCAAGCAAGGTGGACGTGTGTGCAACTTGCCAAGTGGTGCTGACCTACGTCGCAGCCGTCGGTGAAACTCTAGAAGACACACCGAACACAACAAACAAGTACCCTGCTTCATTCCTTGCTAGAAAATACTATTCTTGATAGAGTCAATGTTGTGAGGATTAAGAAGTACTAGTAAGACTGCTCAAACAGGAAGGTTTGGTTCTATGTAACTATCACATCAAGACTGGCAGCTTCCTTCCTTACTATTCGGTAAACTTTGAAGTTCAACACTTCCAGGAACATTTCAATGATAAGGTATAGTTGCTTGAAAGTTTATGGTTCATTGCAGGAAGAGTTCTGCTGCCCGTCAAAGTTTTCCAGTTTCGAAGGGTGATGGGAGCAGAATTGCACAATGCACCTTTGAAGGCAATCCTTCAGAAGTAGGACCTGGTAGCGTGTTGGTGTGGGCTGGGCTTTTAACCAATGAAGCAACTGAACTAGGATTGGAGATCAGTTCTAAATTGGTAGGCTTTATTCGATGATCTTCTTCTTTCTTCCTTTTTTTCACATAAGTTGCTGTTCATGAAAACATTACGTGTGTCATTGTGTTCAGATCATTTTTGTGTTTGATGAGGCGTACTACCAGCACGAACTTAAATAGGGTTGCTTGGCTACTTTGTGATGCTGAGATCGGGTGCACAAATGGGTTTGGCAGTGGGAACGCCAACCTCGGAGGACAAAAGAAATGATAGACAATGAGCCATCTGCCAGCTAGTCGACACGTTCAATTTTGAAGGGTAATAGAAATGAGGCCGCTTGTAGGCATGACAACAGGAATGCAATCGATTCAGAACAACTGCGACAAACTTGGGTGTTTTTGTAGGTATTAACCTGTTGGATTTGTGAAGTGATGACTTCATATCCTTTTTCATGCTGTCAAGGCAACCTAAAGAGGTGGACCAACAAAGAGGATGCCGCTGTATTTTAAGACTGCTGGTGTTCACATTTTCACGCGTCACAAGTCAGACTAGTTCGTCTTTAGGAGTGGTTTGAACAGACAGTCCATCGGCAAGATCGTCAAATCCTAAATTTACTCCGCATGATGCAGATGACATAGACAATACAAGTTTTCGTACTGATGAGGAAGATGGAATCACCAATGCCTCGGGAAAAAGGAATGAGACCCTGGGGTACTATTCAAGTGATCAAGAAGATGACCTGCAGCCTTTTAAACTTTCTTTAGCGTTCACATTAAGCAAAATCTGTGTTTTCACAGGCTATAAAGGCACGGTACTAAATTAACCTATCAGCATGATCTTGGTATCAATGCAGTTGACCACAACTAGAAAGAGTAAGACATGGAATAATTTGTGAGATAGTCTCTACGACCTCTTCAAAACCCTAAAAACAATACAACTTCAACAAACCTTTCCATGGGATAAAACAAATTCAGAGACAGCCATAGTTAACTCAATAGTAGCACAAAAAATAGCTAAAGCCATTTAAACATTGGCACAAATAGCAGCACAAACTTCAGTTCACTTTCACTAAGATTAAGATACGCAATGACCACATATACAGCTGATTTCACCTGAGCATAATAGTGGTTCCAACATATTGCTTTCAAGATTGTTCCTCGGATTCAGGCCAAAAAGTGCTTAACAGAGGATGCGTAAAGCTTTTCCTTGATCAAAGTAACACTTTACATTTCACCACATTCGGCGATAGTGCAAGCAAGCTTGGGCCGGTTGTTTTGCCCTGTTTGCACATTCTCCAATTTCCTCACGACCAGCAAGCCTTCCCCAAGCACGCGCTACAACAAAAGACACCAAACCAGAAGCACATTTAGCTCAACCCCAAAACCTTAATAGAAGAATAAATTTACAAAAGATACTTCGAACCGTCTCAAATCAATGGGTGAATAAATAGAGAGGAAAGTGATGGACACATTCCAGTAAAATCCTAGACTACAATAATTTCTTAATTAGAGCTGTACGCAAATAAAATTTCAATACAGATCACAACTTTGAAAAATAGAATTTCGTGCTTAAGCATCACGCCAACGTACATAATACATGCTAATTGTAGCACGGTATCTATGCGAGAATCTATACCTGGACTTTCCGCAACGAAGAATCAAAAAATTAAAAAAATGCAAGCCGGAAACGAAGGTACAGATGACCTACCCCGAAAACAACGTGTTTGTTGTCCAGCCAGTCGCACTTGGCACATGTGATGAAGAACTGGCATATTCCACCAACCCCGTCAAAGCAGAAACACCTCAAACCACTAAATGGAACTCTTGTTGGTACTTTTACCAATTACAAACAAACTCTCAAGCAACACTACATCAAAAAGCACAGAAAGAATACCCTGCCTCGAAGGGAAAATGTAAAGATGGAGTATTGAGGATTACTGATCCGGATAACCCAAGTTTTGTCTATAAGAAGTAACCAGTTCAAAGTTGAATACCTGACATCCATTTGTATTTGGTCCGCTATTAGCCTACAAGACACGAAACATAGAAAATGTAAATACTTTACCAAAAAATAAACAAATAAATAAATAAGGAAAAGCAGGCTAAGCCTTGCAAGCACATGCAAAAGACGGAAAACACAACAATTCTATCAAAATTAAAATAACATATGTCGATAACAATTGCTAATATGATTTCAATAAGTAAACTACTCAGATTCATAAATCTTATGAATCACTGAGTCTTAAGCATGAAAGAGCGGCATAAACACAAAGGAAGAGGAACACATGCATGTTAGCGTGTGGTCGAATGAGAAGTAGTTTGTGCAAGCTGTGATTACCATAGAAAGCAGCCCTGGACCGGTGTGCTTAGCGATAAAGTTCTCATCGTCAAATTTACTTCCATAGATACTGGTGCAGCCACTTCCATCTCCCTTCACGAAGTCACCTCCTTGGATCATGAAATCCTTAATAACACGATGGAAAGTGGATGTTTTGAACCCAATGGGATTATTACCCTTCCTGCAAAAACCAATGCCGCCGCAAACACAAACTTCATAAATTCAATACGAAAATTCCTTCCACTACAACCTTCCAATTGAGGCAGATCATCCATGTGCTAAAAATATTAATATCAATGTTGACTTAGAATAACAAAAAACAAGAGCAGACTGTCAAACTAAAAAAATATTATTACCTGAATTCCCCAGTGCAAAATTGCCTGCATTGCTCACCACCAGAGTGCACGATCAGAAGAGAGAGGCGAAGATTTTCGTGCTAAAGAAGGAGAAAAAATATCTAGAAGTTAATCCACCCCCTTGACATCGTAGCACGTATTAAATTTTTAGACCTTGAAAAAGGATCTTCTTTTTGGCAAAAGTTAATAGTCACCATGACCACCATTGCGTTCAATTACGATAACGGCCCGTAAGTTCGAAGCTTCGCAAACAGCATTCAATAGACAATCTCTACCCACTCTTATTAAAAGTTATCAGCAGGCCTATGTGAAAGTTGAGAACGACATATAACGACCGGCCAAACTCTGTTGAACCAATGTGCAGAAGACACAAAAGGAAAAAATAAACGATTTGAAAAAACATAACAAGCTGCTCCGGCACTCAATCGCAAACCCTCAAACCCTAATTTAAAGCTCCAACTTGACGCGCTTGCGACGAGCTGTAATCAAAACGAAATGCTGGGATTAAGGCTTGTATACTGCACCTAAAATTCTCTGCGGTTTTGGGCACAATGTCAGCGAAGAGCTCCATCTTAATGCGACCAGCAGGCAGGCTACCAATTGTCACATCGAAAAATACTATAGGGTTTTTGGCATTGGGCGGTCTCAAGTGCCATTCCACTGCAGCTGCTCCTCCTCCTCCCGCTGCTGCTGCTGGTGCCGCCATGTCCGCTCTTCCTTTCCTCGCTCCTCTCCCGGCAAAGCACACACAATCTATCAATTAACTGGGTTGGTGAGTAGCCCTTCCCTTCTCTAACGCTTGATTTCGATGTTGTCGAGTATCGCGCAGTCCGTGTACACGTTCAGCCTCATTCCCATGCTCCTTTTCCTTTTCTATGCTTGAGCAAGCAGCGATGATATTTTGCAGATCCAACCCAAAACCCAGAGGCTTGCGCGGATCTCCCCGCTACAACCCAGCAATCACAACGTGGTTGTTGTTTATCAGGGTCGCGGAGCTTGGCCTTCCAGACTTCCACCCGAAGTCCCAAGGAGAACGAACAAACAAACTTCGTTGGAGAACGAAAGCTGTCGTTGCTTTGAGGAATAGATGAACTGGGACAGATTTTAAGATATATCTCTATATATATATAGATATATATATTGTAGATTTTAATTTTGCAAGTGGTATTGTACATAGAAAAAGATATAAAATTATGTATTTGCATGTCATGTTGGGTTTTTTTCAATTGTTTTCATATTTCAATTTTTAGATTTAAAAGTTTTGCATTTTAGTTTAGCTGTTTTAAATTTTAGGAAATGTCTTTTATAGAAATGATAGTTCTTTTGTAAAAGAACTATTTTTTTATATTTTTATATCCAATAAATATACATTAAAGAATATAATTTTAAAATAATTATTATTGATAGTTATAGTTAAGATTTGTTAATGTTAATTAATAATGAGTTAATATATCTTTACTAATTGATATACCATCTTTTGATTAAGTACTTTAAAACGTTAAATCATAAAAAATAAAAAATAAAAAAGTATTTTGCAAGAAATTAAAGAAAAAACTCAATGACATACAAATCTTTAAATTTATAATATTGATTGTTTATTTAATATTAATCCTTATCCTACAAAAGAATATTATATTGTAAAAATTAAAATCACTATATAGCATTGTGATAAAAATAACAAGTTTAAATATATAAAGGCATTAACAATAAGTATACTAATAAACATCATTAAGCATCATTATGTTTACCATGTAACCCCTTAAAAAATGTGTAGAAACCTTTTAGATTTAGAATGTCAAGGAACCTACATAAATTTGTCAAAAAAGAGGTTGTTTATAAATATGTAAAGATAAGTAAAGAAGATCAAGAAATAATATGTTTTTAGAACCTAAAAGGATCAGAATGGCTAATGTCAAGCACAAAGCAACTAAAAAAAATCTATAAACTAGATTAGAATTCAATAGAGGCTTAGATTAGATAAAGTGGATTTTTGTACTTGAAAGAAAGGTTGAGAGGCCAAAACTTATAAAACTTTTGATTGGCACAAATTAAAAAGCCTCACTTAAATGGCTTTACATTTTGGAAAATCAACTTAAAAGGTTTTTTATTTTTAAATATATGAGGTGAAATGTATTTATTTTCTACATAACATAAACAATGTTGTATCCCTAAAATTTGCAATAAGCCCACCTTAAGAGGTGCCCTTTTACAAAATAATCTCAAAATCTTGTATATAATTGCTGAAAATAATTATGAGAAAAATAAATCATTTTTATTGATATTTTTTATAATTTTTAAAATCAAGATATGAGTTGATTTGTGCAGTCTTAAAATATAAAAATGGTTTGGTATATTTTATGGCTTTGTTTTTTACACAATGTTGAAAAGCCAAAGCCTCCAAAAGAGAGTCTGTTTTTTGCAAAGTGCAAACTTTTATAAAGCTTTTGTACCATAACATTTCAAAGTGGTGGACTTCCAAATAAAAAAAACATTCTAAGAATATTCTCATTTTTGCTTTTATGCAGTAGATGACAAATAGATCATATCCAAGCTTTCTAATAACTACAAAACATGTAAAAAAATATCTCAGATTCATACCCTAATTTAAAGTTACAAAAACATATTGATCAACAAAAAACTTGAATAAATAAAATATGTACATATAATGTCATTATTTTCTAAATTATTTGTTTGATTCGTTTCTATTCCAAATATTCTACTCTTAAATACTCTAGGCATTTCTGACTGTGAAACAGTCCATTGAAAACAATTGCAAATCCTACACAACTTTGCATTGCCATGGTTTGAAACAAATTCAAGTTCCACATTTATATTCCATATCATAAAAATATATATTGGCAAAACCATAACTAATATTCATTATTGAATTCAAGTAACATATTGCACTAAACCAAGATAGTGAATATCATCATGAGCATGTCTGGCATACCCTAATTAAAGATAGTCTGCAACAGAACAAAACACTCAATAGATTCAGATATCTTCCAACTACCAGAGCCACAAGACAAGCCTCTACCCGGAAGCTGCAACATGAGCAAAGCTCAAGTAGCAATAAATATAAGAACCTCAGCAACAGTGAAAACTTAACTGTAACTACCGAACAGTCAACTCGTTCCACTTCGGTAGTGAAGGAAGAAAGAGAAGAACGTCAAGACTAGAGGACTAACCGCCACTGCACAACATGGAAGCTGTAAATAGAACCCACAGAATTTGCTTCTGAAAGCCAGCTCAGAATTGGCAGCCCACGGTGACAACGCCCAACCCAAAATGCCTTCTGAACATGTTTGACGACTAGCTATTGTACAAGTTCTCTGCTCACGATCCAGAAAAGCATGATGTGCTTAACCGAACAAAGAGCAACTAGTACCTGACGAGGGAATATGAATATAATACAGTCCTTGAAATGGACATAAAAATTATGAAAGTTTCGTGTGAATATTTTGGCAAACTCAACCATACCCGCAGGGCTATCCAAATCCAATAAACAAGGTCGAACATGTTGTGCACACGTGATTTCCGCCTTCAAGCCTGCTGCAACGCACACCCTCGACGCCTTCCAGCTCGATAGTTTTCAAAAAGTACATGTCTGCTAGTTTGTCAAGAAACACACGTGGTAACAAGAATTTACATGCATTGGTGGTGAACTTCAGTAGGTCAATACTATGTCAACAACCGATAATAGAAAAGAAGATCACCCACTAAGATTAAAGAACAAGAGTTAACGTCACATATATCCCAGGCCTTCAAATCGAAACCAAAATCGTTTGATCAACCTTCAGAAATCAAGGCTGGAAAAGATGCATTGCTAACAAACTATTTCATTAGAAAGATTACTAGGGAAAGGATACTTTGAAAACTCAAGATGATGTGATATGATCCCGCTAAGAATAAGCTCCGATTTGTACACTTTGGCTCCTACACAACAGCAGAAACAAATTAAACTGTAATGTGTCAGGAACAAAGAAAACCAAATCATAAATTCAATTGATTTATCAAGGCTTGGAGGCTAGACACACTTGACCACAAAACGTAAGATGTGCTCGCCAACTGCCAAGCTATCAAAAAAACATCTAAACGCATTCACGTGAGCCCTGCAACCTGCTAGTAATCTATCTTCTATACAACAGTTTGACTAGCAGACAATTGTTTCTGTTAAAATTGCTGCAAAACAGAATGTAGAGAAGTGAATGAGCTTTTCTATGTAGAAAATGAGAACCTCGCTCAAGGAATGGGACACAAATGTCCCTGTCGTTCTCGTTTGCTAGAACAATACAGTAATCTTCATTCTGAGATTCTGGTGCAGGACCCTCATACTCCTCTACGACCTGCAAGATGTGAAAATAAGGCTTTGAAAACCACCTCTGATCCTTGTACTGAACTGAGCGGGTTTACATGAATCAGAAAATATCTTGGTTTTTAAGTCAATTCAATCAAACAAATTAGCAAATAAATATTTAATTATTCAAAGCATCCTTTCGTTTCTAAGAATGACTATTACATTCATCTCACACACCGACAATGTAATACCTAAAATTGGTAAACCTAGGCAGACGAATAGAATCATAAAAGAGGCAACTTGATACCTGACCACCAGCTGCATGGATTATTGCAGCTATTGCAGGAGGCTTGGGAATAATACTGGGGGTCAACAAAACCCTGACTCCCAGCAATAAAGGTTTGTATTGAGCAGCCAGAATTGTGGCACGCATTGAGAAGTTTAATTCTCTCTCCTTCCTTTCATCTTGCAAAATGAAATTTCTCTCCTCAATGAAACAATTCGCTAACTGGCAGCTTTCCAACCATGCAAATGTGACAACGAACTTCCCTCCTGCCATGGCTTCGAGCATATTAGCGGATCTCACAAACTTCTCTGCTACAAAATGAGTGCAATCAGCAGCCTTTGTTGTTATTTTTCCATCGAGCTTTTCAACAATCTGTGCCAGAAAAGATCCCAATATTTCAAATTGTCTCCTGTCCATGCAGTGCATAGAGAGTGATAATATATCCAAGTTAAAAATACGTATTAAAGAAGGAAAACGAAAAAAGTGGCAAGTATATCTTCCGAAAATGATCCGAACCTTGCGTTGTTTCTTCACGGTGTCTTCCAGCAAGCCATGGCTGAATAATACTGAAACCTTTGTTACTCTTCGACTCCGCAAACTCCCTTCTGTGCTTACAGAAGCACTTCCCTCTTGAATAGAATCCCAAGCATCCTCCGACGGTAACACCAGCAATTGAGGATCTCGTCTCTTGCGTACAGTCCTCATGCGAGGACCCTTACCTGCTGCAGGTACCACAAATGACGGATCGGAGCACTGCAGATTACCGTCCTCAATAATTTCAGGTTTCACAACTGCACCCCGTCCTCTTCTGCCGGTAACCAGCGGGAAGGGTGCCGGCAATAATACTAGTGTGGAGGGACTGGATACATCTGCGATGCTCCTAGTCCGTTTCACCTTCATACGACTAGCATCGTCATCTTCAATTGGTTCGTCCACATGACTAGCTCCCTGATCCGAAATTTCCTCTTGCTGACCTGAGCTGCTAGCGTCATTGGCCTCCAGCTCGTCATTGTCACTATCGCCCTGAAATGATGCAGACCAAGTACCAGTGCTAGCATCTTGTTCAACCTCATTATCCGCCTCATTCATTTCATCTATAGTCGAGGTTTTAGGAACTTCATGACCTCCTCCAGAACCTCTTCTAGCACTCCGCAATCTCTTCTGGACTAGTGCAATTGAAAAGGGCTCAGCATGGTTGTCATCATCACATCTTCCGCGCAATTGCCTTAAACTTCTAGTTCTGACTCCATCCTCACCAAGAATATGACCTATGTCTTCAACCCCTATTAAGAGCTTCGAAGCTTCTGAGATCCTCCTTCTTCGCCTCTTTTGGGGCCTTTCTGGCTCCACAACTGCAGTCTCTTCGTCTTTGTCTGTACTATCTTCGGCTACTTGGGGGGTTCTCTGTTTTAGTCGGCTGCTTGAGGGTTTTTCAGATAGAACGAACTGCACACAACCCAATAATCCAAAAAATCATTACAAATACATATCACAGGTACACAGGATGCAAACTTGTACAAACATGGGTTCAACAAACCTTGGATCACATACCATGGGGTCAGCACCACTGCTTGTGGGACTTGAAAGAGCGTCCGCATTGTCATTGAGTTCATTCTGATCCTCAATATCTTCTTCATCCGTTAACCTCGCATTTTTGGCGCTTCGATCTCGTAGCATGATATTAAGACTTCTCCTTTTCCGAGCTGCAGCTGAGTTCTTTCCCATTTCACAATCCAGGAGAGAATTCTCCTCAGGTGAAGAATAATTCCTTGAAAGGAGCACCGCTTCTGCATCACAAAGACACTCTATTGTAAAACCAAAATACATCAAGACTTCCTATGTGCCGGCTTTGTTAGTGATTACTGCATTAACTGTTCCGTACAAAAGTAAGCAGTTTTCATCATACACTAACATTGCAAGCTTTCTGTCAGATGCAACTCAATACGAGGAAATTGATTGACTAAGTTGCTCAGATTTTGAGACCCACAAACATTTCGTTCAAATTCCAAGTGACCTTAAAAAACCTCGAAACTTTCCATTAAAAAGCCAATGTCCTAAAGGTGCTCCGCGTTATTCAGCAAGAAAAATGACCCACATCCCATGTACACAACGAAACAGAAAAAAAAGTTATCAAATTATTCAAATAAAAAATAAAGGAAAAATTGTAAACCAGCACCCTCCACAAACCTGGAACGCGAATATGCTCACGCCGGTTCCTACCCTGCGACCTTCTCTTGGTCAGAATTTGTGCTCCGTCGAGAACTTTTTCCTCTCTATCTTCTTGGACCCTACTATGCTCCAAGACTTCATTGGAACTTAATGTACTCAAATTAGAGAGCTTCTGCATCCCATCAACGACAACATTTCGAAGTCCATTGTCAGCCACTTGTCCAGGCTCTCCTGAATTTCCTTTCAGTCTCTTCACCTCATCGGTAACAGAGTCTACAGCAGGGCTCTTCGCTAATAAAGGGGTCCTCCCAGTTTTAGGGCTATGCGTTGTTGAAAGGTTCTTCACAGTTGCAGGACTTTTTGTCTTTGTCGCGTCAAGACATGCTTCGTCCTTGTCCTGTTGTAGTTTTGCCGATATACGCTTTGTGCTTGCCGCATGAAGCAGCAATCTAGGCTCATTAATTTTCTCGCGATCGTCGTCTGTTAAGAGCTTACTCAACCTTTCTCCTTCATTCAACAATCCTGTTTCCTTCTCTTTACCTTTTTTTATTGTTAATGCACGATGACACTGTTCTGTTTTCTTTTTCCACTCAGCTTGAATTTCCTTGATTAGGCTCACATCATTGTATGATTGTGAACGCTGTGCCACTGGAGTATCCTCAAATTCAAATACTTGCAAAGCAGGATTCGCAAGAGTGGACGAAGCTGGAGGTAATCCAGGGAAGGACTTCCTATATTTTCTAGGAGGAGATGCCTGAGGAGCGTCAGCACTGTTCAACCACACCAGCTTGTCCACCATGTCCAACGCTTCAGCTTTTACCTCTTCGCCTGGTTCCTGCGATCGAAAAAACATATAAGTAGAGAATGAAGTGCAACCAATAAAGGTATTTCTCACAGTTGTAATGCAGGGATGATACCCAGTGATGCACCAGAGAAAATCTAGAACAAGTTGCTCAATTCTCATAATTCCAAAAGCTCAAGTGATTTTTTAGGCCTGCTAATGCAAACCAAGAACTATTATGGGCAGATACTTCTAATCTAGAACACATTGTGACAAGTATTGAATCACCTTCAACTAATTTCTATAAAATCTGAATGAAATACCAATCGAGGTTCACTTGAGAGATGGACAAGAGAAGTACCACAGAGTCTAAATAGTTCATGCTACCCGTTGGAGATGACAATCTTGGCCCTGATGAGATTCGACGCTGCAATGGAGTTACCAAACCCCTGCCTTCATATCCTAGCTTACCTATGGTGCCTTTATAATTCATATTTAAGATATCAGGTCCAAAGAGAGGTCTCATTCCAGAAAAACAGGTCTGGCGGCCAACATCACCCTGTTCTACCATGACCTCTTGCTCACAGGTGAGGATCCCAGGAAGCTTGCTATCCTTTGGCAATGAGGAATCTTGTACAGATACTCCAGATCTTGGCCCCAGAGCACTGATCCTTTCATCCCGAAATTTGCTCATTAGGAAGTCTCCTTTACTCCCATAGTCTCGCATCCACTCTGGCTCATTCGAAGGGACTTCTGCCCTATCAACGCAATTACGAGCATCAATTCTGTTCCCGGATGGCTTAAGAGCCTGAGGGTTGAAAAAAGTGTAATCGTCAAGTTTCAGTTTTGAAATCCACTGTAAGGGCTGCATGGCTGCAATTCGGATGGACTCGGCACGAACCGTCCCGACACAATTTTGGAAAGAAGAACTCTCTGATGCTTCAGATACTGATGGAACTACTAACAGCTTACTCTCAGTAGTGAGACTCGGTAAGTCCATACAAGAGGAAGAGAACGTTTTGTTTTCTGCAGTTTGTTTCGTAATCTGAATACCGCCGGAACTTACTGGCGTAAATGCTCTCCTATTTTTAGTTTCAAAACCATCATTTTTATCACACGGCATGTCCTTGGAATCGATAGCTGCCACCTTACTATGCCTGCTACTCATGTTGTCAAGAAACTCCTTCCCAGTTGTCGAGACTAACTGTGTGTCACCTTGCCAGTCACGATAATCATCAACCAATTGTGTCTCAGTATTTGTGACCAGCTGAGTGTCGTAATTCATGGGTTCTCCATAATACTCACAATCCATGTCCTCCTCAAGTCTGACATTGAGATCCATTTCAAATTCACACATCCGTTCTTGACGAAACTCCGAATTCGGTTTCTGTAAGCGCGGCGCTTCCTGCTGGTCTAACAAGACAAAGCAAATAGCAAAATGAGGTTCATGGTCCAATTGAACACGATTGAAAACGTAGACATTACAAAAATGCCGTGAATCAGGGCACTAATTGTTCTAGGAATAGCATCCATCTTTTCTTATCTTGACTGAAAATAAGCGAGTTAGGTCAAAAAGCACGCTAATCTATGACTACTGATTCCTCGTCGAACGAAAACCTAGCTCGGAAAGTGAAGAAATAACTTTTCAAGTACCTCAAAGTTAGGTGATAAAACACACTTTTAGTTGCGATGATTTTTCAGTAACTCACCTTGCCTGGAGGTGGTAGCTTCATCTTCCGTGCTCGCTTCTGAATCGACAACCTCAGTCGGTTCTGCCTCATCCGCGGTCTCGGCATCTGAATCAACAGTATCACGCTGAAACTTTTCCAGATCTACACATTTCAGTTGCACGTCCTTGTCAATTGAAGTTACATAAAAGTGTTTCCATAAATCAGTAGCTTGCGAATTACTCATTTCAGAAAAATTCCTAAGTGAAAAGCAACAAGATCCTTAAACCTCAAAGAGTAACTTCAAACAGAAAGCCTAAATGAATGATGTTGAGTATATTCTATACGACAGTCGACGATGCATATATGATCTCTGAGACAAAAGGATTCAAGCGAAGTGAACATACGTAACACCCTCACAGAGGTTGTTGGCGAGACCTTCAGCAACCCCATGTCAACAGCTGATCATTCAAAAATGGTAACAGTGGATAAAGTTATTTATAACAAGCTGTCCTACTCATATCTGTGCAGCGAATGCAATGCTGCGAATACGAAACTAAATTTCAACAGAGCAGCATGGGACTCAGAATTATGATAATAACGTTAATACCTTTCGTATGAACACCATGAATCGCCATATTTAGTGGCAGGTGTATTGGCTTGCTCTTCTCATAATCCGCTTTACCATAGTGACTTATATCATAATTCTCAAGCAACTGAGTTTCCCCAGCATAATTGACCTGTTTACAACCCAATTTCTGTCTGAAATTCCCAGCGGAGAGCGGCAAATCTAGTGCTCCCCTGCATCTAAGTTTCACTTCATGATCAAATTTACTGTAGTGAGCAGCATTATACTGCTCCACTAGCTGTGTTTCTTCATAAACTCCGTCATAATCACTTTCTGAGGCATCCTCTTCTCCATTCGGACATGCGTATCTTTGCAATTCCCGATTGACACCAATTTCATCCCTCTCTTCATCTGAACCCTCTTCAAAATCCTCATCAGATTCCTCTGGTCGCTGTCGGGAAAATTGTCGTGTATAAAAGTCATTACTTAGAAGCTGTTTTGGCTTCATTCCACCATATCCTCCTGCACCACGGTAGCGATTGCTCAGTACGCACTAACCTCATGTAAGTCTAAGCGAGTTATCAAGCGTACGAAAACAGCTCATGCTCTAAGCCAAGTTGCATAAGAATAGAGAATAGTGCGTGAATCAGTAAAGACCATTGCGTGCGCCCAAGTACTTCTGATTACCAAATTCAATTAAGAATAGACTTATTATGAAACATCGCAGTACTTCTAGTAGGAGACGTTTGATAGACAAGGAATCTTTTGTAATCAGATGAATCTTATTTGCGTATTTCTCTTATAGAAAAATTGGAGCTTTCCCCTGATTCTAAAATGATTTAAAAGTTCTGTGAAAATTATGATAGTTACGAAAAGGAAAAGCATCTTACCATTAAGCCAAGATTTTAAAGGAAGGAAATGCAGACCTTCCCGGTTAGATACATGCTGATTAGTCTTATGGGACAGACCCGGCGACCAGCTCCCTGAACCTCCATCACTTGAATTGAAAGATGAACTACCACTTCCTTCATCCTCCATTATTGCAGGCCGAGGTCAGCATTTCAAGTGCACAAACCTTCGAAATTCGTTACTCTAATATTTGGATAGATGCATAAATATCTGTATTCTTTCAGCCTACTGGTCGAGCCTTAAATCCTGAAACAAAAGTGAATTCACTTGTTTCAGACGAATTTGAAACGCGAAAATTCTGCGGTGGCGCAGCAATCTAGAGAGAAAGAGCGAGCTGACACGAAAATACCATTCGAAGAGACGACCAAATGTCTATAGTATACGCTTTCCTCTCAAGACTTGTTGAAGTCCCTCAAAAAGCCATTATCAAAAACGCACACTACTTAAGTAAAAGCGAACAAAGGCGTCACTAGCGGAGGCAAACGGAGTAAAATAATCAACCTAAGAGAAACACGAGTCTGCAATGCACCGGGAACGGGGTTGGAGCTATTCAAGGCAGACGTCACCGAAATCCCGACTTCGAACACCAAGCAGTCTCTGAAGAGTATCTCTAAGAAGTCTCAAGAAGAAAAAAAAGATGAACTTTCCTAAAGCGGAGAGCAAGCAGCCACTCTCTTCACTTCTCTTTCAGAATCCCAAACGAAACGACTATAGGTGTAGGAAAACCAGACATGTTCCGTAGCATGAAATACCCTTTGTCCCTTTTAGTCCCCCATGAATATTTTCACGAAGTACAGTGTCCTAGAGATAGCAAAGCGTAACTGTGAAGCAATTCAAGATGGAACCCCTAAGGTGTTCGCCATTTCTGTGCTGAATAGGGGACCAGGCATACTCCGCACGCATCAACCGATCCAGGTTTCCGAGGACAATAATTGCGAGCACTAAGGAGATGTGAAAGATACCCTCAATCACACCTCCGCCTATCTCCTTGACTCTGTCAACCCTCTGCTATCTCACACCAGCAATCGCGAAGCCGGCGCTGGCCAATCCCACCAGGGAATATGGTCAGAAAGAAATGAGGAGGTTTTCGGCGCACTTATTGCTAGAGCCGAAACACTTTACGTAGCACCCCACAAGCGGCAGTGAGGATATCTACTAACGTGGATGAAACACCTACGATCGCAAAAAAAACTGATTCCCGAACGACCACACGAAAACCTAAGTCCCAGTCTTCCACAGGCTAAAAGTCTCAACCAACAGCCGGCGCTCAACTAAATCAACGCAATGCACAGCAGCACCAAAACTATCCGCGCTCGTGAGCCAGAAAATCAACCTCCCAAAAAACACCGGCTAAGAAACCAAGTCACTTCACCCTAACTCGCCCTCACGCATGAAATCACGCGAAAACCTGCACAAACTTCACAAAACTTGCCATCTCCTTCCGCGTAGAATTCATGCACCTCATCAACAAAATCACTAGCCCCTCCCTCGCTTCACTCTTCACTCCGCTCCCGAATTCCAACACTGGCAACGCGGCATCACCCATAACATTTTGCAGTCACCACAGCTTAAGAGGGGGGCTAAGAGCAGAAAAGAGAGCTAGGCATGGCCATGGATGGGCAAGGGTTGGAATTGACCATGCTGGCTATGGCGGTCGGTGCTCATCAGTGCATTGCAACAGGGCCTCGTAGTCAGTCGCCCAGAATCCAGAAAGACTTCTTATTACCAGTATTAGAAATAGGAAAAATTCCAGCATCACCTTTTAAAAGCGACCAGCATACCCCACTCCGAGTCCGGCTCGCTGAATGAAAGCAAGCTTGCTGGAAGGTGAGGGCCCTGTGCGAGGCAATACCCCTCCATCCCTGCGATTGGTGCCTCGGAACCCTGCCACCACCACCATCACCACTTGCGGGTCTTCTTCCTCGAGCTCCATATTCCTTCGACGTGACCCAGTTTGTCTGTTGCAGGCCATTAATCCTCAGCAACTTGTGGGAAAAGCTTCCCCTAATAGCGGTGATCAACCGTGACTCAACAGGAACTAGGGTGACGGGTATAGGGATCTACGAAGAGTGAGGGGGGCGATAGGGGGTGAGGGGGAGTTCTTCTTCCACATCGCCCCACTTGTGAGACTCTTCCTTTGTGGGGGCCTTGTGTTGTTGCAGACATTTCTCGTGCGAACCCTTTCTCACGTTGTTATTGCTGCGGTTTATCAGTTGGATTTACCAGCTTTGAGCGGTTGTCGGATTTGGTCTGTCAGGATCTTCTACGCAGCAGGTCATGCGAAAGTGAAGCAACAGATAGCAACCCCCTTTGTCGCTCACCGTCACTCTCTAGGCAGACTTGTTTGTTTTGCATGAAACGAGCTACTTGGTGCGCCTTCAATTCCGTCATATTTGTCTAGAGCAATCGTCGCGTTGATGGAACGTCTACCTTCGGCTTCCACCTCCAGTGCAGTTGGTGATGGGACTAGATGGAGAAGTCTGGGTGCAAGTTTTCTCGAAACTATGACGGTTTGTTTTCACGTCGGAGTTATCGTGTTCTAGCTCGTAGTCCTGTTTTACCGGTCACGTGAACCAGATCAATTCTACTCTCAAAAGTTAATCGGTACTCTGGTTGTGTCGAGGAATCCACTTTTTCTCAAGTTGAGTTCTTCGTAATCGTACTCGCTCATCTCTTTGAAAGATAATTTGCATTCATCTAGCGCTCTCGCAAGAATCCTTGCCGGCCTACCACCAACCTGCAAGTTAAGTTTCCGGAGCAATGTAAGATTGAGATAGTCCAGGGATGAACTCTGAACGGCTTTGGTCAATCGTGTGGCCATCTCCTACTCAACCACATAAATGCGCTAGTATTCTGATGTTACGCGGCACTCGGTTCTTTGCCGACTAGTTAAAACCTCCAATATTGGAACCCATCTGCAATCCTCTTTTTCTAAGTTTTTTGAGGCAGGAAAGCTCTGGGACTCGAACGTCGTCAAAAGGGGGCGTTGAAACTTGATCAAGAAGAAGTACGCGAATTCAATCACAGTTTTCGTTCTTTTCTGGATCGATACACGCACGTCTACGTCTAATCAAATGTGTTCGATTCTGAGTTTACCACGGCGTTGAAATGATACCCAATACCCATCTGCTGGTAGGCATGTACAGGGAACGCAAAGCTGCTGGGCTTTTGCAGACTTGGAGGAAGTTTTTCTTGCATCACTTGTATTGTAAAATCATGCTTGAGACGGGAGAGATGGCGTGCCGTGTTGGTCCTGCTGATGCGTCCCTTCGTTTGATTTCAGATCCTGCAGTCATATCCCCGGCCGTTGTATTCGGTGCCAATGCATTGAATGTTCTTACAAAAACCAATGCATCGTGGGAACTTTTGTATCACCATGTGTTAAAATTTGAGCGCTGATTTCCACGGTGATGAGTTAGTAAGCAGAGACTGATACTTCTTACTTGACATACTTCACCGTGGGTGATTTTGAGATGAGGTTTTCGTGGAGTTCTGCTAACTTCTTCATCTTTAGAATCTGTATAGGAGAAACGTTGTTTTGGGATTGACATATTTAAAAGTGCATGAGTGGTACACTTACTGCAAAGCCAATCGTGGTGTACAGGGTTTTGCGACATGGGGTTGAAGTGAATGAAACAGATTCTTTAATATGTAATAATAGCAACCGAACACTACACTTAAAGAATCAGTCCGCCATTTTTTTTATTCTAAGTGTAAGCGTGTTCGGGACGCTAGTCTTCGTCCCTTGAGGCAAAAGGAACCTTTCTGGCTTCTGGTTTCGAAGGTTTTCAACAGGATTCGGTGATCTTGCAAGCGCACACTCCCAACCAAAAGGCTGAAATGAGGGAGTGCAGCATAAGCCCAACGGTGTTAGGCGATTATTTTCATCTTTTTGTGCCCTTGAACAAAAGCTCCGAAGAATACACTGATGTGTGCGTGCAGAAATGGCATCCAAAGTGGACAATGAAAGAAATGTCGCTTGGTTAGTGGAACGTAACGAAAATAAGGAACACATGCGTGATCATCTCTGTGCAGAGTGTTGGCCCTACCTATGCTGCTAACGTAGGTTCCACCATGAGGCTGTGGAAGAGTGGAGGCTCACTCGTTGGCAAATATCAATGTTCTGCTCTGTATAAAATACGGGCACTGAGTGAAGTACAAAATTCTCTAGTGATCCGCAAGGCTGATTTCTTCAACACCAAAATACTCCTGCCACATCTGAGGATCAGCGAATCCCGGAAAATGGTGCCCAAGAGATGTCACTTGTGGATTCTGGGCATGAAAAACAGGGCGTGAAGGGTGTTCTCGGATCAATATCATCCTCATTAGCGTCTTGACACTTCTGCTTCCTACGAAGCTTAGTTTTCACTTTCCTGAGGGCCCGAATGACAACAATGGAAGGCAATTTGATGCAAGCAAAAGTCAAAAGATGAAGAAGAGAGAGAGGGCAACAGCACACGGCTGTACAATCAGCAGCTATCCCCGCTATACACTTGAATACTCCATCCCTCTTTGCATAAAAACCATTGGTTTTCCATTCTTCACCACTCAACTCCCCTTGCTGGTAAGGCTCACCATTGCGGCCACAGGAATAGTTCGACTCCATACCTTGGCCTCTGGGTTTGTGAGGAGAGTTCAAGGAAATCTTGTGAGGTGTCTTTGAAGACCCAGAAATCGTCCCTTCCAACTGACAAACGCACATCGTGCTCCTCGGGCGAGCACCAACAGATTCCCCTATGAAGAGTCTTTTAGATTCGCCATGCCGCACCAACCTCTGCTTGACATGCTCCTTAGCTTGGTTTGTTCTTGATATGCTTATCGAGCGAGGAGATTACGCGGCAGTAACTTCGTTCCCAAGTGATTCCTGCACATACATCGAAACTTAATTGAAATTCCATTGACGAAGTGAATCACTATTACATGTTCGACTTTAACTCTTATTCATTCAAGGATCAACAAGATTCGTAATATAATATTCGACTGAGAATCGATGCTTGGAAGCTTCCCATGGATGTCAAAGGATGAACAATACCATTTCATGTTTAATACAGGTCGGATCTGCAAACACTCACAATATGAATGCTGCGATACCGATCATGAAGGGTGAGCGAACAAGCGAAAAACGGGCATTCTCGAAAACTTCCATCTGCAAATTGCGGAACAGTACTGCTCGTCTCTGCGGGCACTATGAGTTTGCACAGACACACGCTCTCATGTACAAAATCCTTAACTTCTGCAGGCTCTAGATATTCGAAACCTGCAACTAAGCAACACGGCTGGAAGTGCTCACGATCACCTCTTGCACAAAATAGCCGAAGTATGAAGCTTGAAGCAGCGGCATTATGTCATAAGATGACAATTCGTAACGAATTGAAAAAACGCGCGCTTGTTGCTCTCAAACGAGCAAGTATCTTATCCCAAGCTCCTACCATCACCTAAAAAATGTTTTACATATGTATAAAGAGGATGCGGGAACTTCTAAATGAAAGAACCGCAACAGGTTCTACTGTGAGAGTGCGAATGGCAGGAGCTCTCTACATTTCAAAGTCCAACTCAGTACCCAATTTTGTCAACATAGATGAGAACAATTAGCCATCTGACATCTAATTCTACAAATCCAGAAACACAAAAACGTCCTGCATCATGTTAGATTCCAAACAAGGTGCCAATTGCATTATCTCACACAAAGAAATTCTTGAAAAAACAACAACCTACACACGTCTTCAAAAAAGCATGTCCAGCTTCACGACCGAGAATATTTGATCAGTCACCAGATTCTAAGTCAGTGCTCAAAACCCCGCATTACAGAAACACCAACGCTCATCGCAAGGAGCTTGGAACAAGAACCTACCTCCAGCTAGTCAAGTCCACAAGTTGCCTCCGATGACAACACCCTCGAAATAGCTTTCACCTCCAAGAATGGGTCCTGACCACCGGCAGACAACGATGCTTCGGCCACAATCAACACCACGCAGGCACTACCTCCGCTGCGGAAGTCTATACAACACCAATCATGATGAGTACCACACCGTCTACCAGAAAACCTCGCGAAAATAAAACCAAAAAACCGAATGAAGGCAACACCTCGCCACGACTAAACACAGCCTCCATCACTTTCTCCTTCCCATCACTCAACTTCCCACGCCATAGCACCTCTCCCTCTCTTCCTCTCTCTCGCTTTCTCCTAACTCCGCTCAACTGCCAATCCCCACTATTCTACACGGATCTGCTGTATCGCAATGCGGCAGAAAACGACGACAAAACACGTTGAAAGCATGTTACAAGATCAAGAAAGCCGCTGCAATCAAACTAAAGACTTGTGCACGCTACAACAAGGGAAAATTCTCGCTCCCGCGCGCCTCTTCACTCGAGAAGAATCCCCATTACAGACCTCGACGGCATTCAATGAACACCGAAAAGCACAAATCACAAGGGCCAGAAATAAACCGACACTGCAGAAGGTGGTAGTGCAGGGTCGAAAGCTCCAGAGACTAACGACCTTCCTCGCAAATCATGAAACCCCTTCGTGGTTTGGATTTCCTACCGACCTACTGCTCAGGAAAGGGCACTGTGGGTGGTACTGATTGGTGTTGTTCGTGCGTCACTGCGGAACTGGTTGCATCCTTGTAATTCTCACAGAAGTTACGTTCCCCAAAAGCGTTCTCCACTGCGTAGTATAATCAACTTTTGGTTGGATGGTACAATCTTTTGTAATACAAAAGGATAACGCACAATTCAACCTGAAGTTTTAAACACAGTTTTTGTAATAAACTAGAAGGCAGTAAATTTGAGCTTTTTATTTTGGGTTTGATTGTGTCACAATGCTCAGCACCTCTGAAATTTGTGGCGCAGGTCAGAGTTACTTAACACAATTTTTGTGGTGGTTTCATGAATTGATTTCTAAATGCTATGTGTGTATGTGTATATATAGGGTATTGCTAATGCTATCACAATCCTCTTTTATTGTTGTCACTAGTCACTTTTGTTCAATACCCTTCAAATCATTTGATTTGAAATGATTTTTGATTAGATTTTATTTTTTAAAAAAATTGCAAAAATATATCAAGTAGGTGGGTAAATGCAATGGCAATAGCAAAAACTGTGGTGGCACTAACAATACCCTGTATATAAAAATATATAGTTATTGGATGTGATTTTAAAACAGTAATGGATTCATTAAATGAATAAATTTTAAAAATTAAGAAAATATTGGATTCGACTTTTGAATGGATAATGCTAATATTTTGCAATAAAAATGAATAAAAACAGAAAAAACATATAAGTCCTCCACAATAATATCAATAAATCAATAAATTAATTTGAATGTGTTTCCAATGAGGTGGAAAATAAATAAAAAGTAAAAAAACAAAAAACATAAAAACATAAATATCTTCTCACAACCATAAAACATTTTTGGGTGCAAATGTTCTTCATGTAAAACAATCCCATTGAATACCCCAATATGAATGAACTCCCAAAGACTTTAAGATTTGTACATATTTTTCAGAAAAAAGTATTCTTCCATCTTTGATGACTTTTGGGATATTTGATACTTGCAACAATGTCCAAAATGAGCGAGAAATGAAATTTAATGTGGCAAGCATAGTATATAAATAAAAAAACGGACAGAATGTATGTATTATTATATATATATATATATATATATATATATATGCAACTAAATAAAAATTGAATAATAATCGAATAAAAAAAGATTAAAAAATTACCTATTTTATTTATTTTCAGTCAGAAATTTTATTTATATTTATTGTGTTATTTATTTTATATATTTATTTATGTACTTATTTATATATTTGTTCATATGTTTTTAAATTACATATATGTTATACATTGCATTTTTAGACAACAATTAATTTTATTGAATTTTTTTAATTGATTTAATTAGATATAATACTAAAAAAAATTGAATCTATGGATTTCATTTAATAAAACATTTTGATGTTTGATTTTGTTCACATGATATTCTTTCAATCCACTATTTTAGAATAATAATAATTAAAAAAAATGTTAAAGTGTAAAATTATTAAACCCAAAAGTAAATTGTACCAAATTATTTGATTTAATATACTTGTGACTTGGCATCCTTAGGGGCACTCTACACATAGAAGTATGCTTTGGAAGGCCATTGTTCAAAAGCCTCACCAAAGTCTCATGCTTGGTGAAGAAAAATATTTTTTTAGAAGCTCTCCTCTTTGGATATAATACAAAGTGAAAAGAGACAATGAAATTATGTTTATATATATATATATATATATATATATATAAAAATCTAAATATTTTAGTCCATATCTTCATTCAAACAACAAAAAAGAGTATAAAAAAGACTCTTCATTTTTTTTTTAGAAACCATCTTTTAAGATGGGTCCAATAGAAATTCCAAAAGACAATACTATTCATGCCATGCAGAAAAAGATGTATTTCATCTCATTCTTTCCTCTTAAGGCCTGTAGAATTAATTTCCAACCAATGAAAATATTTAAATATTAAGGCCTCTGACCTCATCTCTTCAGTATAAAGTGCCCCATAATTATTCATACTCGTGTAATTTTTTTTGATGTATTAGAAAAATAAAAATAAAAATAAAAATAAAAATGATACATCAGCGCCATATTCTATTTTCCATGTCTACAAAAATAAATATGATCGTAAATTTATTTATTTAATTATTTATTTTCTAGTGGGATCCTGTTAAGTTTGATTAATGTAATTGGTCCCGTTCCCCTTGACTGGGAACACAGTAACTTCGCAATGGGATCAAGATCCATGGAGAACGGGGTCAATGGAGTGGCAGCCACGCAAGCATCCAGCACGGCAGCAGAGGCTGAGCCTCTCAAAAAGCGTGCCCCAAGACCGAGCCCGGTGGGGAGGACGGCCTCGGTTTCAGGCCCAGGATAGACGAGTTCCTCATACGGCGCCTATGGGCGTCCCCTCCACACACCCAGGCGGGGTCCACGTAGGACTGCCGACTCACCTGAGCCCGGGTCATAGGCCCTATTCTCCTGTTCGAACAGGTGGTTGCTCTCCCCCCGCCCGGGCCACGCCACGCTGACTCTTATGGGTCCCAGGAGCTGCAGGGTTGCAGTCCACCTGGGCATTACACCTGGGCATTAGTGTCACGTCATGATCCGCTGGCATCCACGTCACCTGTCATTTTGATAACGAACAGATGAGCGGAATATAGAAACTTTTTCTTTTTTCTTTTTCTGTTGCTTTGCTTTTTCTAAATGTTTTTATATTGAATACACTATTAGAGCAACAGAAATATTTGGTTGACGTTGGGAAGAAAGATATTCTTAAACAAAAAAATAGAATATTCCAAGCATCTGGAAATGATACCATAGGATATGTATTTTAAAATGTGATTAAGAGCATGCAGTGTACTTTATTGTACATATATATGAATGAACATATAAAGAGGGGGGAGAAGATATTTAATTTAATCTACTAATTTAAAAAAGAAAAAGAAAAAGAATGTACATGTTTGAATGCAATGGTATTGTTATGTGTAAAAACATTTACTGCTGACTCTTACAAAAGCATTCTTGCACTTTGTGACATTTTGAATTATTTAATACAAAAAATAAATAATTAGTTTAAACAAATAGTGAAAAAAATGTATTATATTTAGTGAATCATGGTGGAATTATTCACAAAGCATCCATGCCATCCAAAGGAAACATATCAAGGTAATGATTTTATAAATTGTTCATTCTATACACTCAACTCTCATATTGTTTGGAAGATTTTTGAACTCAAATTTTAGAAGTTTGAACATTTGAAATCATCTTTTAAACTGGGAGTGTTTGAGTGTTTGAGTAAGTGTGCATATATTTATAATTTTAATGCAGCAAAATTAGTGTTGTGCTTTTAGATTTATTAAATAAAGGGAAAAAAAAGAAAAAAGTATCATGAATAATTATCACAATGACCCATTACAATGGTAAACTGATAATGCATACCAAATTTGTTTTTAGATGCATTATCGAAATTATGTGTTTTTTTTTTTTTTTTTATTCATTTTTTTTTTTCATTTTGTTTATGGTCATCATATGTGTAAGTGTATGTATGTATATTGAAATTATGATTTGATATTTTAAAAGATCTAAGATTTTTTTTTTTTTTTTTTTTTTTTGTTTTATGTTAGAGTTTTTGCAACAAATAGAATATTTTTGGTGATTTGTATAGCTTTAACTATCAAGCATTGCATAATATATATATATATATATATATATATTATGTTACTATATATGTATAGCATGTAAGATTTATTACATTTCTTAAAAATAAAGTTCATCATTTACTTTGGATTATTTAAATAGAGTGAGAACACAACTTTCTAGATATATAGTCCCTTGAACTAAACCAAGTGCTTAAAACATACAATTACAAAGTCATCATAGATTCTTAAGTTAATTGATTGCCCATTGATTTATTATATTTATATGCAAATAGAGGCTGAATTGTAAGACCTTGCTACTCCATCTAATTTTGTATTCCGAATTGTACTCTTATTATGCCTTTGACCATTTGTGGTTTGTTGTACAGCCTCAAGATGTTGCACAATTGTTAGGTTGTTTTTTTTTTTTTTTTTAATATTGATGCAAATGATTTAAAAATAAATAAATGAATAAACAAATAATTCTACCATATTCAATCAAGTTATCCCAGAATAATTTCCATATGTTGTGTTACTATGTTCCACACCTTCAAAAAAAGAGTTATAAGGCATCTTGATTATGGCATCAGTTCCTTAAATACAAATTAATTAACAAATACGAGATTCATTATAATTTACTTATACATGGACTATGACACTCTGTGAAAATATGACTATATCATCACTTTGTAAAATTACTCGCAACAATAAATTTCAAGAATTTGATTGTTTTCTATAAATAGATATACATTTTTTTAAAATTATTATGATGATTAATATTATTATTATTTTGTGTGTGTTGATTAAATGTACACACACATGTATGTAAATAAACAGTTAAACAATATGTTGCTTATAGTCATGAAATTTTCATTTTTATTTATTTTTATAATTTGTTAAAATTCATGTTAATATGAAATCCGGGGATTTTGTCATTAATAAATAAATAAATAAATAATCTATTGATATTTGTAGCTGTCAATCCTATTTAAACTATATACTATTGACACATTGTCACTTATCAGTATTTGTGAGTGATTTATTTTTTAATAACTTTCTGTGTTACAATTAGATGGTAAGAGATGCCATTTAAATATATATATATATATATATATATATATCTTCACAAACCATTAAACCTTTTTTTTGAAAAAATATACATACATACATACATACATACATACATACATACATGCATTTGGAATAAAATACATATATACATAAAAAATATATATATATTCTTTCATACATACATACATACATTTGAATGCACACTTATTTTTGTGTGTAAGGATATTGGTTAAACACCTTAAACATCCCTTGGCCTATATTTGAATTTTAGTGTTGGAAATTGAGTAATGAATTTACATGCTATTAGTGAGTGAGAATATTGCACATTGAAGGAAGTTGTGTTTTTGACACAAACTTCCTTGAAGGTTGTTGTTGGGTACACAATAATTTCTAATTCACGAAAAGAACACTAAAAAGTAGCATCTCAAACATGAAACACTATTCAGATAATCAGTATGGCACAACAATACTTCTTTTTGTGTAAATATGTGACAATTAAAAGGTATGCACAGGCTAATCTTAAACCCAGACTGAGACCGCATCTTACAAAGAGGGTGATATATTAGCACAACTCAAGGTTGCCACCAAGTTCTTTTTCAGAGGTTCAAAGTTGTCTCATATAATTAATTTTGAGGTCTACAGTCCAACATTACAGACTAACACTCCAAACACAAGCATGCTATGGATTAGGTCTCATAGATTTCAAAGCGGCCTCGCATCAATTTTGTGAAGTATCGGTGAAGGTAGAGCTTATCAATCTGTTAAGCAGCACTCGCACAATGGTATCGTGTGAATTGATTTGAGAATGTCAATACATTCGTAAATTACTTGAACCCATTGTCATTTTTAAATCCCAAACGTTAAGAAATCTCTCAGACCTCACTCAGTTGTTTATGACACTTCCATAACTACCAGTTCCCCCGACTGGTTTTCCATTAATCTGTGAAGTTCAAGCCCTTACATGTGCATTTAGATATCAGACCAGAACAGAGACACGGGCGAATACAAGCAATTGGCTACTGAACACGAGCATCAGGTCTATAATACGAATGAGATAACATCACAAATAGAGGAAGAATTAATCAGCCGTGTATGAGATAAATTGGCATACAACTTAGAAAGGCTCTGCGTCGGTCGAAAAACAATGCCTACGTTTCCAGTCAGCGAATCTGAACTTTAAAAAAAAAAACACAATCGTAATTCACTTAAAAAAACATTGATTCCTAACTATTTAGACTACCTCTAAAAGTCTAGACCAGCTTCACGAGCAGCATCTGCCAACGCCTTGATTCGTCCGTGGTAAACAAAGCCTCCCCTGTCAAAGGCCACCTTGCTAATCCCTTTCTCTAAACAGAGCTTGCCGATAGCCTCCCCAACTTTCTTAGCAGATTCCTACAAGAATGACACCTCTGTTAGGGCGTATCCAACTGCTCTGAAATTCAGTCACCAAATGATATATTCAAACCCTAATTCCCATCTCTTCAGTTTTGGTAACGAAGGAGATAACCTCCATGTGCAAGAGTGCTTTCATAAATGATTCTGACAATTGAGTATTTTAATACAAAGCAAACACATCATGTTAAAGCTGAGAGGACAAGCCAACGAGCGCTCCAACCCAAAAGAAGGAAAAATACTTACAATGGTTGGGCCTGCTGTATCTTCAATAGATTCACGGATCTCCTTGGTGAGAGTAGATGCGGCGGCCAGAGTGTGCTGCTTAGTGTCGTCAATGACTTGGGCGTACAGATGTTGGTTGGTGCGGAAAACAGCCAATCGAGGCCTCTCAGTGGTACCACTCAGCTGCACGAAAAAAAAAAAAAAAAAAAAAAAAAAACAAACAAACAAAACAACAACCAACCAACCAATCTTGTTCGTTAAAGGGATCCGGAAAGGGTTTGAATTCATCACAGATGGGGCCAACCTTCCTTGCTATTTCGAGTGATTGAAGCAGGGGCACATGAACTCAAAATCACAAAAGTATTTTGCAAACTACGCCAGAGAGAGAATTGACAGTTGCACAATAGACATGAAATCACCTTCTTCCTCAAACGCCTGTGACGAGACTTCAAGGATTCCCTCCGAGTTTGATCCTTCAGAGCCTCTATCGTCAGCGACTCCCGCAAGATAGCTGCAAGGGGATTATAAAAGTTTGGCAAAAATATATAAATAATTGGTACAAAGCAACGCCAAACACACGGAAAGACCAAAACCCACAATGCAGTTCAATGGAAAATCCGACCAACTCAATCGCGAACTCCACCCTATCCTCAAATTCCAGTTCTAATGGCCAAAACGAAGCTCACCTGGGCGTGTGGACGTCGGCATTGGAGCGTGGGAAGACGGGGTGGCAGCAGCCAAGCCATTGAATTCCGTGAATGGGGAGCTTCGCAGCGACAACGACGCCATGGACGCCGATGCTCCAGCCATCACCGCTGACGCCATAGCTCGCAACAACAACAACAACAACAATAAACAAGCTATTCAATCGGTGAAGAATGCGAGGAACGAATCCTCGAGTCCGCAACAAATCCTGTTTCTACCTCGCCGAGGAGGAGGCTCTACCGGCTCGGGCATGGGGTGGCGTGGAATTAGGGGCCTTATCCACCTGGGGTGCGAGACGATGTTCCCTTTGTGTTCCCGAAGTTCGACTGCCCACGACGGTTCCGTGGCGGAATCCTGCATCGCTCCTGCTCTTGTTCCCTTGCTTGGTGTTGTTTGTTGTTCCCTTGTTCCCCACGACGAGTTCCCGATTGTGCTCATTGAGTGCGAGATGGTGTTCACACTTGCCCTAGTTAACTAACTAATTAATTAATAAATTAGCTATTTGGTGGATTAAGAAATTGCTTCTTTATTAGCATCCAAGTTTTATTGATATATTATGGATTTCTTTGGGGGGTTCTACTATATCGTTTGATCAAGATAATGGCGTGCATGGATTGCCAACTTTGCACACATGTAATACATATATATATAAATAAATTGAATTGATGTTGCATGTTAATTTCAAATGTTTAATTGTAGCATTAATAATTATTTTTAACATTTTTAATGAACGGTATTTTTATTATATTCAATTATGTTGCATATTTGAAAAGAATGCATTTTTAGATGTATGTCCATTTTGGTCATATAAAACACTAATAAATAAAGAAATAAATAAAAGTCTTTATGTTTATATGTCTCGTTGGTTTACAATTGATGCATGCAAAAAAGAAAAAAGAAATTAAACTAGAATCGTACACACAATATTCTTTTTGATAGCATAATTATTATTCTTAGCATTCTTTCTAACTTTATGAAACAATCTTGTTGTGCACATATATTTCAAATCATATTTACATACTCTACACACAAGAAGAATAAAAGTCAATCTTTGCATAAAACACAATATATATATATATATATATATATAATCTATCCAATATTTTTAAAATTAAATAAGAGAATTCTTATTGGTCAAAATTCACTTACACTCCTATTTCACTCTTCAACTAGATCAATCACTAAAATTCACATAAAATTCACAAACGAACGTCTCAAAAACCAAACTTCAAACAAGACCTCATTACAAAGCTCAAAAAACCCAACTTCAATCCACAACAAAACAGAACAAAAAAAACCATTTTCATCCTAATGAACACAAATCAACAAAACTTTCTCAAAAACAATGAAAATGAGAATGAACTCCCTTTCAATCTGCTTTCACACATTTTGCTTCTTCTTCTTCATCACATGGTTGAATTCCTTCGGAAAGACAATAGCTTCTTCTTCTCACGAAGGCTTCAAACCCAGCAAGCAAAGCTGCATTAGCACCACTGTTGTTGTTTTTGCTGCTCTGCACAAGATTGTTTGTTTAGCCACACAATTGCAAGCATGCGTTGTTGTTGCAGGCCAGGAATTGTATCTCCACAACTGAATCTGCACCACCACCAACAACATCAACAACAACGATCGATCGATCGATATGGAGGCAAGAGCCATTGTTTGTTTGTTTGTTTGTCAATGGCGGCTCCTCTGAAGCAGCAGCGGCAGCAGAATGGCTCCATGGCGAGACTGAATTTCATGAGAGAGCAGAAGCATCAGAGTTTCGTGATGCTTAAAAATCTGCACTTTACGGGGTTGAAAGTACATTCATCGAGGAATGCGGGTCACGGGGTTGAAGCCATTCATTCTATAATGCAGCCACGTCCGAAGCCATGATACAGTCAGTCAGTGTTTTGTCCAATTGTGGTAGAAGTGGAGTGGTGTTAGTGAAACTGGGCGAAAAAAGAGAGCGAGGTTTAGAGAATAATGGTGGTTTGATCCACACCGCCTTTTGAATTGCACATCAGCAACCTCCGAAGGTCGTTAGGGACGAGTCCAATCGACCCCTCGGATATTGTTTTGCAAGTTGTTTGTTAGTCCTGTTCACTGAAAGCGTTTTGTTGTTGTTGTTGGTGTTGTTAGTGGTGGTGTTGTCTTTTTGGGTTTATTTTATTTTATTTTATTTTAGTTTGTGGGTTGTAGCTATGGCGTCCTGCTACCCACTCTCCGTCTCGCGCCCTATGTTGCTGCACCGATGTCGATCGTCCGCTTGTTCTCGCGTACCCAGCTGTGGGACTTCCTCTTCTCTCCAAACACACCTGAATTGTGAGATTTGGTTGGGTATTTTAGCGTCGGCGTGTTGTCGAAGAGTGGCCCCGGTTTTGCTGCAAGAGCTGTTGCAATGGAAGTGGGTCGGGAGGCGGAGGTTCGAGTGCGAAGGAACTGAGTTTTGCGAACCCTCGTGTGGCCTGAGGTGGAGGCGGAGAGGGGGTCGAACGAGGGGATCGAAATTGGCGTGCAGAGCGGGCCTGATTGAGCCCGCGGTGCGTCTGGTGCTGGCAGACATGGATCCCGAGAATTTGCAGAATTTGATCGTTGGAGCGAGTGTTCTGGCTGCCACTTCTGCTTCCCTCTACTACGGGCTCAAGGTGATTCACCCACCGGCTTTTTCATCCTCGAAACTTTTTCGCACTTCGAATGATCAATGTTGTTCGATTTCGTGGAGCATTGGAAGGTTTCGTCTCGTTTTAACGGGCTCGAAAGTAGCTCTCAATTCATGTCACCATGGCCGGCGAGTAATTACTTGTCGGAATTGAGCAAATTCCAATGAATCTGCGGCGATTAGGGCTTACTCGAAGGAGGAGCGAAAGGGGTTGCAGATGGGATTATGTGAATTGAATTCGTGGAGGGGATGCTTTGTTGGTAGACTCTTTCGTTAGTCAACAGTCTGCGTTGAAGAAATCATTTGGCTAGTCAAAGAAGAATTTTCTTTGTGTGATATTTCGTTTGATAATTGTTCTTGTGTGACGGCAATCCAATGCAGGGTGAACCCGAAACGTGTGCGAAGTGTGCAGGGAATGGTGAGCTTCGTCTCTATCCTCACATTTTGTCTGACAAAGCAATGTTGTACTTCAAAAGTATGTTGTCGAAAATTGTAACCAACTTGGCAAGTAGACCAACCTTCTGTAGACCTAATCGATATAGCATTGTGAATCTAGAGTGGGTATTCTTGTTTTGAGTCTGTTTACGTTGGTAATGTCATTGCAATTTATGCGTCGCTTCTAAAACTCGGTGCGGTTTTATGACCCAGGTGGAACAAAATGTGTATTCTGCGTTGACGGGAAAATGAAGACTGAGGCTGGGCTGACGGATTGCCGTGTCTGCAAAGGAGCAGGTTGAATTCTTCACAGTCAAAACTCTCATTGATGTAAATTTTTGCACGAGGTTCTGGAAGAGTCTTCACATTAGAAAGATTCAATCACCTAAGAAGGCCCATTAGCTTCATTCTGTGGAAAATGCTTATGCAAACCTTGTTTAGTCGGCTAGCAGTTTGCAAAGCTGATCCATAGCAATTGCAGTTAACTGACGTGATGTATGGGTGTGTGTGTGGGGTTGGCAGGCCTAATTCTTTGCAAAACATGTAAAGGGTCGGGGTATTCACGGCGCATGTGATAATATGTACAAGGTAGAGTCCATTTTTAGCTAGTTCTTTAGAGTCGGTGAAGACGCTGAGGTTCGGACAAATGTATTGTAGTTCCCACTCATCTCTATCCGTTCCACCAGAATTATTTGAATGGGCTTCAACCAGAGAACACAACGGAGTCCTAGTAATTGCAAATCATGGGAAGAGGCGCAGGAGGATGACGGACCATGAGGTATAAACCGCCGTCCACTCCGCCCGCCTAATCACTGAATTTTTGTTCAGCCTGGTGCATTCAGCAGATTGCGGTTTCTTCAATTCAATTAGTTTCTGAGACCAAAGCCGACAGCACATAATGTCCTTATCTAGCAACTCGTCTAAGTAAACCAGCTCCCATGTCCAAGGACGGTGACTCGTTAGCTTTATATTGCAGAAGGTGAGAACATGTGATTTCCGACTCAAAACTTCCTGTGCAACTTATGTAAAACTGACACGGAGCCAAGCCTGCAACGCGACACAACTGCTCGTGCAGATTCTCGAACGTAGGATACGAAGACCACGATTTATTCTTGGCCTCAGACCCCCAGTAAAATGCACATTTTTCCCCTCTCCTGCAAACGCCAGGATAAAAAGCTACCTCCAATACATACTTAGTGAGTGAGTTGTTTCAACAGCGTTTCACGTAGTTCTTGGAAGATGTTAGGGTTCTCAAATTAGGTGAAGTTGCGAATAATCTTAGAGCACGTTTGAATTGACGCCAAGATAGGTATCCTCGTTGGATTCAAGATATGAATTCATCAGCATTCATATTCTGCACGTCCCAAGGTGAGTCGTCTTTCTGCGTTCATTCTTCTCTGCTAGATCTTTCTCGATTTACCGATTCTGGGTCCACCCCATGATAGTAAATGAAACAGAAAAAAAGGAGGGAAATATGTTGGGGACTTCAGTTTTTTTTTTTTCTTCTTCTTCTTCTGCTAAGGAGAGAAGCGTTGGTTGCGTGCGCACCGTGCTTCGAGGAACGGAAGAAACAAGGCGGCCCACGGAACTGGCCACGTTCCTCCGACTCTCATCGCTCAAGGGTCCACTAATCTATCCCCTCGTTCCTCGTCAACAACTTCAGAAAATTGGGTTGTTTTTGGTGACAACAGTTGTGTCTGTGTCATTGTTGTTCACACATCAGGCACCACCGCAGATCCCACAAACAGATGTGATGGATTCCAAAGGTGACGACACTGAATGAGAATGGTGCTAACGTTGGAAAACCTTAAACCGTCAACTTAAGTTTTTTCAGCTATTTGAGGGAGTTTTTTTTTTGGAAAATAATAATAATAATAATAATGGAAAAATAAGGTTTTGATGCGTTCAAAAAGAAAAAAATAGAATTGCTGCAGTGGTTTAATTGATAAAAATTAACAAAGCATTTTTTGTATTTGATCCTTGAACTAAGGCATAGACTTGAGCAAAACCATTTGTAAAAATAAGTTAAACCACCTCCTCTATCACACTAAACCACCAACTTCATCCTTGTAAAGTTTGCCAATCATTGGTGGATTTGGAATCAACTTAGAATCTTTTTACATTCTTTAAAGCGATTTTGGATTATACAAGGGCAATTTTTGTCAAGGTCTATGAGTTGGTTCAAGGACATGATTGTGTTTAAAATATTTCAATGTTACATCAACAAACTATAGTTTTTTATGCAACCCTTCTCCTTGCGAAGAATCTAAGCACACGGCGTGTAAAGATGCAAGAGTTTGGAAGCTTTGTGTGTGAGGATCTACATATTTGGGCATGGATTCTCTCTCCTTTAGCTAAAGTCTTGTTGTCTCTTTCTCTCTCTCTCTTTGTTGAAGAGTGTGGGATATGAAACATTGTCAACTTAATATATATCATTATTTTTTGTAAATGCTAAAACATCACAATCCTTAATTCTATCCAATATATTCAAGTATTTTTATGGCCTTACTCCTTCCAAATTGTAAAACATCAAATTGTATATTCTATTACTTATAGAACTTATAATCTACAAAGAGCAATTCCAATCTCTCTTAAAATTACTAAATAAAATAGTGGTATTAATAGTTTATAATCATTTTATCTTTTCTAAATAAAGATTAAAGTTGATTAGCAAGCTTTCTAAGTAATATGCTAAAAATATTTAGCATATTTTATAGCATCATATACATCTAAAAAAATAGATTCTTTTTTGTATTATTGTACATTTATCTACATTGGTTACATTGAGATTAAATAGTACTAATTTCTTCCTTGCTTGAGAAGTACATCTTTTAAATGTAGGAATATCTTTTATTAATTGTTTTGCTAATTGTAAGGATTATTTTTATTTATTTTTGAATAAATAAAATAAAAACAACTAGGAATATGTTTAGAAGTTCCTTGTCCACAAAACTAGTAATTGAATAATTTCTTTTTAACTGCAATATTTCTTATTTCACAACTTTAGTATCAACTTTAATTATTGTATTTAGGATTTGGAACAATAAACTTCCAAAGTTGTCAAAAATTGTTTGAGTAGTCCTTCTCCCAAAATCAATTTACAAGAGTTTAGATCTCCAATTGTTTGTATAATTTATAATCTTTCTGTAATTGTTTTTATAAAAATATCACCATTCTAAGATCCTTCAGCTCTTTCATAATTTGGATTTGTTCTTTCTAATGTGATCTTTTGATATAGATGTCTAATGAATTTGTTGTCCTACAAACTTGTGTTGTGTAAGTTTGGTGATTAAATGCTATTATTCAATGCCCTCTCATCCTAAACCCTAACTTTTTTTAATGTTTATAATTCTATTCTTACATTAAACCACAAGCAAGTAATGTCTTTGCACTTGCTTGTGATTTAATATACAAATTGATATGCCATTACAAATCCAAGCATACAATCCTAGAAGATTGTTATCATGTTCTGAGAGTTATATATATTTTTAACAATTATAAGCATTAATATCCAAAGTATTCTAAATAGATGACTAAGTTAGAATGTACATTATTATTACAAGTTTTGTTTTATTTTATTTTATGTGTTCAGTATATAGAGAGACTATAAAAGGTGTGATGTTAATAATTGAACTAGTACTGTAAAGGACTGAATTTCTAATATTTGTTAAGTATTTATATCTGGAAAAGCAAAATAACATTATAAATCAATCAATGTTGGCAATATGAACAATGAAACAAAAACATATAACAAATTGCCAACATCATGTCACCTGCAAGGCTTCTCTTGTTTCTACAAACCAAAAAAAAACCAAAAAAAAACCAAAAAAAACAAAATTAACAAAATCAAAATATATTATACCATGTAACACTGCACCAATTAATAACAGCAAGGAAGTAATCGGATCAAACCCAATGACAAAGAAATCTAGAAATCGTTATCTGATGTCAAAGATATTGCGCAGGAGGCAAGCAGTGGCACTCAATTAAGAAACACATTTGCACAGTAGAAGTTAAGGATATATTGGGTTATAAAAATAATAAGTTCGGTATGTGAAATTACTGTCAAAAAAAAAAAAAAGAAAAAAAGAAGAAAGAGGGAAGTTTCACAACAGCTGCCAAAATTGTTGAGAATCATGTACTGAAGTAAACACCTACAAGAGAAAAAAAAAAAAAAGAAAAAAAAAAAGAGGTAAGGATTGAGTGGCTGCAGTTAACAACTAAACCCTAATTCAATAGATGATTCCAGCTCTTTGCGACTAAACCCTAATTTTGTGAAGAAGACGAGGACAGCGTTGTTGCAGTGAAGCTCGGCAGGCCGAGACAACCCCTTCGCCGTCTTCGTTGTTGCAGAAGCCTCGCGATCGGTTTCAGCTGACATGGAGATTCTGGAAATTGCCTGGGAGAAGACTCGACGGGGAAGGGGTGTCAGCAGATTCGAGGCGAGACGACGGCGCCGATCGCACTACAAAGAGCTGCTTGGACACACTCCAGTGGCGCGGCATGGGGTTGAAGCCACTCCCCCCGCCGCACCCTGCTGCGTCGGGTGCCGCGTCTTGCCAGAAGAATTTCGTGGCCAGGAAGATGTTGTAGCCTTTGGAGTGTAAGCCGCTGACGAGGTCTCGGAAGGTCGTGTCGCGGGTGGCGGAGATTAGAAAAACATTCGAGGGTGCTGGGTTGCTGATCGCCCACAGAGCTATGTCCACGATCATGGTCTTCAGTACTGCTGTCTCCGATCCTGGGAGCTTGCACGGCAAGATGCGGTGCTGTAAAATGATGCCGCTGGCGATGAGAGTGTCCAGCCCTGACTTCGAGCCTGGCCCGCCGTTTCCGTAGACGTTCACCGTGACGCGAATTTGGTCGCAATTCAGGTGACTCTGGAGCTCTCGTAATAATCTGTGTGCCTGGACGGCTGCGCCGCTCGGTGGTGAAGCTTCGAGAGGAGAAAAAGAGCAGGTCTCAATGTCCCACCACACTATAACATCTCTCGTGCCAATTGAGGTTTCACTAGGTTTCGCGCGTCGCTTCGGCTCTTCCAAGCTCAACAATGTCTGGCACGGCGGGCTAAGCTCCTGTTCTTCGAGAACATTGCCAGTGGATACTTCCATATTGTGACTACAAAAAAAAAACAGAAAAAAAAAAAAAAAAAAAAAAAAAACTCCTCACGGTGTCTTCGTTTGAGAAGTCCAAGCTCGGCGGACCTGATGGTTTCTACAGGATTACGACAAGATTTGTGTTGGTAACGCCAGTAATCCAACCTGTGTGGGATCTTCGAGCAATGGAGGAGAAACGGAAGTCCAGGATTCTGGAGTAATCAGATCCCTTCGCACTTGTTCTGACACTCTAACCTCTCTCGTCGGAACATCTCAACACACACGAAAGCAAACTAAACTCTCTGTTCCGAATGCGCGAACTAACGCACGCTCACGACTAAAAGTGGCATTTCGTCTCATCAAGGCTACAGAAGAGAACAGTGCAGAGAAACGGTGTGGTCTGCGTAACTTGTCTTACAAACGTAAGAAGAATGGGTACATTACCTGATGTTGTGGAGGAAGTGGAGGCTACTGTGACGTTCTCACATTGTCGCATCCATGTAGCGCTGCACGCACTCTACTGAACGATCGAAAGCTCTAATGCTCTAATGACCGAGAGAAATCTCAGGTTTATTCTTCGGAAACTGAGGCAAGGTTGCAACAACTTGCGATGATCGATTGCATAACTTGGGACCATGTTAACGGTTTCTCACCAGTTCACTGCTCACAAACAGCGTTTTCTATATTTAGCATCCCTTTCATCGGAGCCAAATCGAATCTGCCAAAGGCTGTAGGAAACTGATATGATTTTGAAACAAGATTGCATCTAGAACGCTAATATCAGCATGGAAAACGCAATCGTCGCTTTTTGTGACGATACTTTGAGCTCAGCAAGAGATCTGTGTCGGTTATGTATCAAAGCATCATAATATCGAAGTCTAGTGATCGGATATCAAATTTTCCCGATCGGATATCAGCAATTGTTGCAGTCCTCTTGGGGAAGACTGCATCCAACGAAGAGATTGTTGCGGTAACTGCACTTCACTATCGACTCTTCTGTTCGCTGACGACAAAGAACAGGAGTGATTCGCCTCGAAAATGTAAAATGGCAGCAATAGAGGGCCAGCCTTAGAAAAGCTTCGGCAACGGAAGGAGAGGATTGCAGGTGACAGCCTCTAGATACGTGCAACCACGCAGCAGGGTTTAGGAATGTTACCCTCGACGGTAGTTTGTTCTGTCCCGGTTCAATAATTTTGTGGGTCATTCAAAACTAAAGCGGACAAGGTTGAGTGTTCACACCCACATGCTCTGACAACAACATGGCGTTCCTGAAACCCAACCATACGCTCCGACATCTCTGACAAACAAGACATGGCGAATCTCCTCATCGCACAGCAGCGTCTCAGGAAAAGCTAACTGAATTCGGCTAAATCCTAAATTCTCTCCCGATCTCACTCAGCTGAAGAATCTCGCATTGCAACTAGATTTACAAGAGTGTTGGAGTGTCAGTAGCGACACCTGCTCACAACCCCGAGTTAGGAACCCCGGGTGTTCGGCGTCCGACGATGTGCAATGAATAGTTGGTGCAACGGAGCAACGTGAAAGATTAAGTCCTGCGTAAGGAGATGCAGGGAGATGAAACCCTAACGCTACGCACCAGGAACTACAAGTGACGACCATGCTTGTGTTCTCTGTAACAGACCCCCGCACAAAAATGATGACACACAACTAGGGTTTTGTTTGTTGTCGAAGAGCTCGAACCCAACCAAATGCGAAGCGGATGACGCGCTCGAGGTCAAGGTAGAACAGTGCCGAAGCATTCCGAGTCCAGTTCCAGTCGGAGAAAAAAATTAGGGTTTCTAGTCGACATAGCCATTTCAATCGTATCGACATCGCTGTGGACGTGAACTCCAAAACCCAGTGCGATTTCAAAATTAGAGTTTCGGATTTGAAGCTCATAGGATAAGAAGTGCAAACATCGGTTTAAAACCCTAAAATCCTAAACCTTGTTCTAGAGGAGAAAAATTTCTGCATGAAGGAAACAAAATAGTAGAAAGATAATCTCATGAGTCTTTGTAATCAGGAGACAAGGTGAGAGAATACAACTTTAAATCTTATTGATTGATTGAAATTACAATGTTTAGAGAAAAAGGATGAGTTGGAAACAAGGGTGATTCAAAGGCTCCACTTCCTCTTGTAAAAACATGTAAAGACAATAATGTTTCTCAAATGAATGAATTGGGTGTTGTTCCATAATGTAGTGGTTCTAGAGGAGTAATCGATTCACTTACAAAACAAGGCATTAACAATAACTTTTCCTACTCACTCTCAATTGCTTGTTAGACACTTCCTTGGAATAACATTTTTTGACATTTTCTCTTACTATGATGCCTACAAATAGTACCTAGTAGAGTTTCTTAAGAAAAAGTATATATTTTTTAAAGTAAATTTGAGAACTTATAATTGTGGTTTCTTCATGATTATAAAAGGAGAGGTTCTAAAATAATTTGCTACTTATATGGTTTTATTGTATGTATCTTTTACATAAAACAGCTAAGGGAGATAAACCAAAGAAGACAAAAACCATCTTTGATTGACAAAAACCATCTATGATTAAAAACTATATGTTGTTGTTGTAGATTGCCAAGAATAGCATTGCAAGATCACTAGGCATTGAGCTTGAAAGCACCACAACATGGAATGACATGCAACATGGAGTTTCACATTATATGAAACTTCAAACAAAAGATTAGTTGTACAGTGTTTTTTTTGTGGCCAATGGTACAAATTTCCACTAATTAATAAATATCTATATATATATATATATATGTTATAACATGAATGTACATAATAAAATTGTTTAAAAAAAACCATGATGATTTGATGTTGCAACATTCATGAGTTACAACATTTGAAGATTCAAGGAAAGAGCTCTTGGGTCATACAATTATTACTATCTCAAAACATTAAGACTGATAGACTTTTGCAAGTACAACATTGTGGAATATATATACTTACTCATCAAAGTAAAATAAATTGTTGTTGAGCACAGTGATTGTGTATACCATTAAATCAAAGTCAAGACAAATCAAAGTCAAGACAATCATTACATTTGATTAATTTTTAACACTTCTAGAAGTTAGACACTTTTGTTGTTTTTTAAATCATTAATTTGTCCACAATTTGATATTTTTTGTAGCACAATATACCAATTTTGTCAAAAAAGGAAAATCTATATCTCTACTTCAGAGTTAACTTTTTTTAAAATAAATCTCAAAATAATAATTAATGTAACCCAACAAATTAGTGGAGTCATTTTAAATTTTAGAGTCTATATATTTGTATATTATGAGATATATATATATATATATATATATACATATTTGTAAGTGTGCATGATTGTATGGTTAATTATGATTTGTTGCATGTAGAATTTAACTTGATTTTACAACATGAATGTTGAAAAAATATTAAACTACGCTCACATTCATGCAAATATATAAATATACAAGAAATACGAGGTTGTTAAGTAATTTAAGTATATATATACATAAAATAAGTTTTTATCTTTGTTTAAAAACAAGTTGGTTCATAAAAGTTAGATAATGATTTTCATACAAACCAATACTTTTATAGATGAGTTACTTTTACTTTTCAGCTTTAATAACTCAATTGAATTTTATAACTCTGTTACTAGATTACCATTTATTTTAAAATAAAATGTAACTAATATTTGAAATCTGAATGTTTAGAGCTAATAAACCAAAGGGACTATCTTTAAAATTATCAAATTAACCAATTTTTTAATAAATATGATTGAAACTTTAAAATGACATGCAACATGCTAAAACACTTCATTTAGTTGGTAGGTGTATGTGTATTTGTAATACATATTTACACACAATAAAAACATTGTTTTGAAGCAATAAATTAAGTTATTTTTGTTAATAAAGTGTTGTAAAAATACACAATTCATGCATGTAATCCAATATATATACATGGATGCTTTAGTTTTTTATTTTAGTTCATTGTTATGACCAATTTGATTTGATTCTGTAGTTGATATTTTGATGATTTGATATTAATTTTGTAATTGATAAAATGTTAATCAAATTGTATATTCTAAATGAATTTCATGAATGTTTTAGTACGTTTTAAAATTAGCCTGTACATGTACATATATAGCATATTATGTCTTGAAATATAATTCTTGGGATAATGACTTTTTAAGTTGTAGTTTATGCATTTATTTATTTTCATGCATAATTTATTTGAAATTACTACATTGCATGTGTAATTTGAAATTATAAATGATATTAATCTTTTACTAAGTAATTTTACTAACAGCTAATCAATTAATCTACAATTTTATAAACCTCCTGAAAATTTGACTACAATAACTTCAATTCAAATCCACAAAATATCACATTAATGTTAAATATCAAATACTCTACATTAATCATTAGAAAAAACTAGCTCAGTAAATAAAAAATGTATTTCAGAATTGAGTATGTGTATATGTATATATAGCATTTAAACCAATCTGTAAATTCATTTAGTCACTGTTAGTTCTGAAATAATAAAAATTAAATTGTAATATAAAACTTACAACTGATATTGTTGTGATTCAAATGTACTTCACAAGCCTTAATTACCATACATTGAACATGAATGCAATACAACAAAATAAAAATTATACTTCACAAAATGCAATTCAATACTACTTAATTTTGATTATTTTTGAATTCACGAATCCACAAACAAAAGCATTCAATCACGAAATCATAAACAATCTTCAAGATAATATACATACTGTGAAACATAACCCACATTTTCTATTTGTTTATTTTACTTTTGTTATTTTTTTACTTAAGTTCTGTTTCAAAAGTTTTTTTAGATTATTGAAACCCGAAACCCCACATCCCGAGCACACTAATCCACAAAACCGCAAACGCAGCATGTGGAAATCCGATGTGGATCACGACGGAAGGGATCGTTAATCATCGTCATTCTTCAAATCAGTGTTGGCTTCGATAAAAAAAAAGAAAAAGAAAAAGAAAAAGAAATGTTTTCCTTTCTACGAGATTAGTTTTTAATAAGCATGGTGAAGTAGGTTTCACGTTGTTGTGGATTTTGGAGATAGAGTCTAAAGCAGCAACAGCAGCAGCAGGAAGAAGAAGACTAAGAAGACGCAACGAAGAAGAAGTAGCCCTCGGCCAAGTTTGTAAAGGAGGGAGAGAGCGAGAGAGCGGGATTTGTGTTTGGGTTCTGAATCACTGCGATATATCTGAGTCGTTGAGAAGCTGTGCTGCATTAACGTCCTGCATTTGTTGTCTTCCATGTGCGAAGTTGTACGCTGTTGCAATCGGACGTGAAAGAGTTCTAATTCGACAGAGCAGTCGACCATGAATTGTGAGGTGTTCCACCTGAAGGAACTTGTAAGCCCTATTTTCATATAACTCAACTTCAATTGTGGGTTGGAAGATGGAGCAGCTTGGGGGGTTTTGAAAAAAAAACGTGTTGCGTATGGGTAAGGCTGGATTTGTTTCTGGATGAATTTGGGGGTCGATTACGATTTGGGTATTAGGGTCGTGTGTTGATGCAGGGGTGGGTTGTGCAGGAAGTGGAGCAGTATCAGATTCGGGAAGTTTTGAGATGTATGTTTTCTTCTTCTGTTGTGGGGTTTTGAATAGTTTTCGCTCGTGTCTGAATTCGGTTCGAAATCATGGACGTGTACAGGAACGAAAGAAGGATTGCATAATGACCTAATTTGGAACAGGAATTCATAATTTGGGGTTCAGTGGGAACCTGGCTTCAGTGGTGTAGCTTGGCCGCTAGGCCCTGCTCTTTATTTTCGGTTGTTTAGGTTTGGAAATCGTGATGCCCCATCAACGTAAATTGAGGAACATGTTGCTATCTTTAATTATTTGCGTTGTGTTAAGAGATTGTTGAATGTTGCGGGTCGATATCTATCATTTTACAGGCATTCTCCACACTATTATGTTCAATAGAGCACTTGGATTGGTGCGGCCTCGTGAAGTTGAATGTGAGCTTTTCGACATCACCTATGTATGTTTCATTCTCTTCTTTATACCTCCAGTTTAGGGTTGTGATAGGGTTATGTTTGAATTCAATTGAGTGACCTTGGATGTCACTTTGTATTCAACGAATTTTTGTAGGAGATATGTGGTATCAGGTGCAGCTAATGGAAGTCTTCTCAATATTTAGAGCAGTAGCATGACTTTATTTTCAGAGAAGGATGCTTGCTGGCGCGTATTCATCAAATAGTTTATGAGATAGAAAATTTACCAGGCTGTTCCTTGACAGTGGCTTTAAGATCTATCCATTCACAAATATTTATGAAACGCACGTGCATTTTGCGCTGATACATTTGTGTTGATTTCATTGTCTAATGCAATAAAGCGCATCGTATGACGAATTACTTTGTGTTAAGTCGCGTGAATTTCGGGTATTCAGGTACAGTGCGGGGATTCACATACGGAGAAGAAGATTGAGGAGAAGATTGACCATTTCTTGACATGGGTTGAAAAGCATCCAGATAAGAAGTCTCGGGTCTGCTACCACAACCCCCGTCCTTATCCACTTGGTTGTTTCTTTTGTATCCCGTTTTTTGTATCTAACCACCTTGCACATTCCCTGTCAGAATTGACTGAAATGTAGATGTGGCAGGTATGTTTGTCATTCTATGAAACAAGGAATAAGCATGTGGGGTGGTTCAGCAAAGTAGAACGACTTTATTGGGAACAATGGTGCATTCAGCTTCATGTACTCCGTGCTGGACCTCACGAAGTGAAGAAACAAGTCTATGACGGTGCTCCATCCGGAAATAATGGAGGTGGGTTCCAGTCAGGCACGCTGGCACTTGCTCTCACTTTCATAAATGTCTTCCCTGTTTTTTTCCTTCACTTACAACTATCACATTGTGAAGCGCGTGCAAGAGTGTCGTGGTTTCTTTATCTCTTGGTTCAAGCCTGTTATCTTGGAGCTTTTACAATGAACCATCAAATTTCTCATCACTCTATGCTCTCCTTGTGCTGTTTTGTTCTCGTTTGACCGCAACCACGCTTAATGACTTGTGGTCATATACTTCCACAAGCAGAAACTGTGTTGGATGAACGGCAAAGACGGAATGCAACTCTTGAGGCTGCACTACGAGACGTGATCATTGAGGTTTTGTCGATCGTCAACGAGAAGAAGGATCATATTCCTCCAGTTCAACAACCAGATGTGGTTGTCTCATTCCCGTTTGAAATTTCTATTCCCAGGTACAAGATGGATGGCAGGAATTCCTCCTGTGATGCGATCTGCTTAGTTTGAGTTTTATAGTGCCGTCTCTTGACATAATTGTTCTTTGTTTTGCAGTTGTATTGTAGCAGAGCATGGTAATGTGCTCATTCACAAGTGACACTTTTTGTTGCCCTTTGCAGCTCTTCAGACTCAACCATGGACATAATCAAGCGTATAATACAATCTGGACCTCCTACGATGCTGAACTGAATCCTTCCTTGTAAATATTTTGAAGAATTCTGTGTACATACATATGAAGGACTTGTATCGAGGTCTGCCCACGGATCTCTACACAAACATGTTGTGCAGAACCGCAAATTGATTTTTATCTAGTTATTCTCTAGGAGCGTATTTGAACACCCCCAAATGAATGATGCATAGATATTACTGTACTTTTGGAGTTATGCAATATTTCATGTTCCTAAATCCTAAAAGACTACTCATTTGAAACAGTTTGCGGTTATTAAGAGAACTCTGATGCAGTCCCTCCGCCTTGTCTGTACGCACACGTCGGACTCCATTGGGTTGCTGACTGAAATTGTATCAGGTGAATTTGGTCACCTGTTTGTGAGTAGGCTCTAGTGTCTGAAAGCCTACACCCGGTCTACAATCAGAAGTGACGTAGATTGAGTATTCAGGTTATCTGTCTAATTTTCTTGCCACCTATCCTTGTTCTTTCACAATACAAAATCTAGATACTATTATAGTACTCATCTCTTCACGCTCCTCGCAATGACTCACAGGAACAGTTGTCTGGTTGACATCACCAGTAGCAGTGAGTAATGAAAACAGTACTGTGCTAAGAGACATTTATCAGTACTGTAAACCACCCATCTCTGCCTTGATGGGAAAACTTAAGTCATCTATTACTGAAAACATGAATTTAACTTGCGTCTCGTTTTATGTCGGTTTATGAGGCGATCTAGTGCAGTGTATTTACTAAGCTCTATTCGGTTTTTTCTTTTTTAAGTTTAAGTTTAAGTTTTTTTTTTTTTTGTTTAAATTTCTGCTTCAACCACCTTTCACGTGGATATGAAGCTCGAAAGGTTAAACCTTGACACCAAATTTACAGTGCTCAGTAAGAGCGTTAGTATTATGCAGACAGGTAAACATCTACCATTGGTGCTAGTTCCAATGCAGATTTGCATGAATGTGTGTGTTTTATGATCCATCCAATGTCCTATTATTCTGCCGGACTCCAGTTTGGATACTGGAAACTGTGTTTTGTGAGACCTTCTCTTGTATAAAATCATACTTTGCAGACAATCTTTGTGGGCATTCTCAAGCCTTTGCAAATTTCTCACTCCAACTACTGCGTCCATGCAAGAAAAAAATCGGTATCTGAAGTGACTTTTAACATGAGAGAACTAGGATAGGTAGCAGGAAAATTTGTTACTGATGGAACGTTTGGTGGATGGATAGGGAGTCTGAAGTTGTCTTGTCAAATGTGTGCCAAAAAAAAAAAAAAACAAATACACAAAAAAAAAAAAATAAAAAAAAATAAACGATTATTGGTTCCCTGACTTAGAGTAGCCTATAATTTATTACAGTCACGACCTTCTTATTCAAGATGAATACATATATATATATATATATATATATAGATTTGTTCTTCAATCTAGTCATTGCTTTATCAGCTGCAATCTAAAAGTAAGCAAAATTGTAAAGAAAGATCATAAATTGAATTATTAATTTTGTGAACAAAATTAAAGGTTTTGTAGTATTATACTGCTCATATACATTAAATTAATTACAATAATAGTTGTAAAATAAAAAAACATGCCATATATATATATATATATATATTTACTAGTGGAAACTTGTGTTGTTGGTCACAAAAAAACATTGTAAACTAAGTGTTGTAAATTAATCTTTAGTTTGAAGTTTCATATGATGTAAAACTCTATGTTGTATGCTGCTACATGTTGTGGTGCTTCCAAGCTCCATGTCTAGTGATATCATAGTGCTACTCTGGACAATCTGGATGCAAATTTTGATCTTTGATTGATTAAAAATTGAGTTATTGTTTCACTTTTGATGAAAACAATGGGATATGCAACCAATCACAGATCGCTTTTGTTTCCTTTGATTTATCCCATTGGTTTATCCCCCAAAACTATTTTATATAAGAGATATCTAGTCTAAATAACAAACTATTGTTTATTGTTAAGAAACCCAATACAAGTCCGTCCAGTCGATTAATGCGGCACACATTACTGTAGAAGATCAGACTTCGAAGGTCCGAGGTGGACGCTGACGTGGGAAAGAATTCGACGAGCTGGCACGTTGCAGAACAGGTCAGCAGTCGGAGTCGGGGTGGAGCCCATGTTTTAGCGCCATTCAACAAGACGTTCAAATTGTTGCTCATCTGTTCAGTCAACCCTGCTTTTTTGTGAGCAAAATTGGAGGAATATGGAGAAGTTTAGGTGGAAGGAAACGTGTGTTGCTATTTTTTTCATGCTTGCTCTAGAATTAGAACTCTTTTCTTCAGCTTCTGCACGGAATTTCAATACCGCTGGAAATATTTGGCTTCACCGACTTCAGTCGGACAGCGCACCTTAGTTTTGGTAACCATTTTGGTGATAACTTGTATGCGAATACTGGAAGCTTTTCTAGACTTGTAGAGTAGCATCGTCATAATACCTCCAATTCTACATTTCCATCCCCGAGCAGACATCGTCATAATACCTCGGGGATGGCGTCTGGAAGGAGCGCGGGTAGTCAAGATCGATGCGCAACGAATATTCTTCTGTTGGAGTTGGCGGTCAATCGGAGCAGAGGATTGAAATAGCCCGCCGCCGACCGTGAGTGAGGACGAAGTTGCAGTTGAGTTTGTTTACCGCTCTTCACCATCGTATCACTATTTTGTGTAGCCGGAATGCGGTAGCCTTCGGTCAATCCTGTGTGCCTGTCATTCCTGTGACTTGGTGCTTCAAGGTTTGGTGACGCGATTCAGGAATAGGACTCGCTGTATCAGGGCTCTCAGGAAACACTATAAGGCCATGGATCTGAACGTCTCCACTGCTTATCACACACTTGCAATTTGCTTCAATGCTCTTTGCACATTCTTGTTGTAGGTCATTGTTGTCAGCTTTGAGAACTTGAGTATTTTAGCTCGCGCTGATCCCTGCTCTGGCGTGTAGTGGAAGGATTAGATATCAAGGAGGAGGAGGAGGACACTCATCACTAGAGATCTTATTTAGGGAAGAATTTCCAAGAGGTTGGCTTAGCCTAACATAATGCAGATGATATTGGAATCAGCACTTGTAGGACGGCAGTTGCAATTAGGCAGAGCATCGAGGATTAATTCATGGAATTCCTCACGGACTTGCCTGCAGTACGACGACTTCTCGGCCAACCATAAAACAAGTTGGGATGTGACCTGTAGGTTGAGTGAGGGGATAGAGAAATCGCCAAGAAATCATGGGGGTTCCGAATACAAAACGCTGACGTTGCCGAAGTCATTAATAACATGTTCATCGGCTGCGCAGACGTTAAAAAAGCTGAAGAAGAACATGGATCGGGGTTTAAGACAGCTGTTGCAGTCCCCGCCTGTCCTGTATGAGGTAGAATCAAGCCTGGTTGATTTAAAGGCCACCATTGTCTTGTGCAAAAAGGAATTCTTCGAATCGTCGGTTGCGGCCGAGGACGGGAAGGTTTGGGACTTGGAAGATGAACTATCAGGGAAGCGAGTGTATCTGCAGCTTGTCAGTAATGACGTTGACTCAAGTGAGTCCTTTCATCCTTCCTACACACAGAGATGCCTGTTCATGCTGTGATGAGGACTTGGGATACTCTTCTGCTATTAGCTGGGGAATCGGACTCTGACTGTGGGCCGTTGCTAATTACAGGTACGGGAAAAGCCATGCGTACCTCGGAAATGATGATTGAAAATTGGACTGAATCGTCTACTTCAAGCAGTCACATTGCATCAACATATCCAACAAAATTCGTTGTCAACTTTAGAGTTAAGAAAGAGTTTGGAGAACCAGGTGCTCTTTTCGTTAAGAACTTTCATCGTAATGAGTTTCTTCTAAAAGAAATCACTGTTGAGGTTCCAAACCGCTCAAGCTTGCATTTCATATGTGATTCGTGCGTGTACAACGTGGACCATTACGCAGCTGACCGCGCCTTCTTCACCAATAAGGTCACTCCTCCACCACCTCATGGCTACCCTCGCTAAATTTGAGGAAGTGCATGACAAACTGTAACTCGTGCAAGAACTACCCCAGCGTTAACCTTCAGTGGATTGTTCTTCATGCCAGAATACGTCGTAAGGAATTTGATGAGCGGAACGATATGAATAATATGGTCAAGCTGTCTGAACATGTATTACATTGTAACAGGTTTACTTGCCACGAGAAACACCAGCAGGTTTGCAAGAGCTGAGGGAACATTTATTACAACAACTCCGGGGTAATGGTACTGGGGAGCGGAAGGAAGCTGACCGAATCTATGATTATCATGTCTACAACGACTTGGGAGACAGCTATCGTCATGATAGCCTCAAGAGACCAGTCCTAGGAGACAGCGACGAGTTCCCATATCCTAGACGGATGCGCACAGGACGACAACGCTCAAAAACTGGTGAATCACTCGGCTAGTTCAATTCGAAACCATGTTTACATTTGCCAACGTTGAATCTTCAACGTTTCCGTTTTAGAGGCACTAGGTTATTACCAAAATTGTTGAAGCATGGTTGAATGTCTCCAGACCCTGAGGCGGAGGACCGAGGTGACTTGTGGACGAATTTTTACATTCCACGAGATGAAAGATACACAATGGTGAAGTCCGAAAAATTGCAGGAAGACGCAATTCAGACAGCGTCTAGAAAACTACTACCGGCTATCCAAGCATTGTACTCCAGGCAGACAGAATTTGAAAGCGTACGCGAAATTGCGGACTTGTTTAAGAAGGGCGTTTCATTGACCGTACCTTCAGATTCAGATATCGATTTAGATTCCGATCGTACAACACCAGAATGTGAAATCATCCTCACGTACCCTACGCCTAAAGTCATCGCAGGTGAGCGCGTAATTCCATATCTAACTATCAGTTTGATGAAAATCCAATACTTCTCGTCGAACATAACAATACACTTCCTTCGTATATTTTCCAATGTTGGAAGCACTAAATATGGGCATGATGCGAGTTATTGTGTAGTTGATGAGACGGCGTGGACCATGGACGAGGAATTTGCCCGTGAAATGCTTGCTGGTTTAAACCCAGTTGTTATAGAGCGACTGCGAGAGTTTCCTATCAAGAGTAAACTAGATGAAGACACCTACGGTGACCCTGTGTCTGCGATCACAGCTGAACACATCGAGCCATTTTTGGAGGACATGGATGTGCGGACAGCACTGGAAGGTCACAAGCTATTTGTCCTTGACTATCACGATGCCTTCCTTCCATTCGTGAGCAAGATCAACGAGAACCCTGCTTGCAAGGCGTATGCGACGCGGACCTTTCTATTTCTAACACATGAAGGCATTTTGAGACCTGTAGCCATCGAGGTGAGCTTACCTCAAGAAAGTGAACCTGGCACTGTAAAACGAATATTCACGCCTCCTCCAATGGGTATGAAAGATTGGATGTGGGAGCTTGCGAAAGTTCATGTGCTCGCTAACGACGCTGGATATCACCAACTCTCCAGTCATTGGTAAGACATAGCCACTCACATCTCCATCTGTCCTTTCTTGATATTCATGATCTACTAGAAGAGGCCTAAGAACTCTTATTTTAAGCACAAGATCGACCCACTAGCGAGAGGGTCGGCGTAGCCGCTGTAGTAAGTGGACAGGGAGACAGACCAATCCAGGTACGCACTGAAGGGCGTCAGTCATGATTCGATGGTAGAAAGTGCAGCTCTTTCCTTGCCAGAGATGTGGTGAAGGCTGCGACGCTTGAACTCTTCTGAGAAGACGGGTTGATCATAGCAGACATTCAAATGCTGCTATGATCTCATTCAATATTTACGTCGTGAAGCGCGTCAATATATTTTAATTTTTTTTCTTTCGTTGAGGTGCTTTTGAAATCAATGGTGGAGAGCTTTATTGGAGGAAACTGTTATGTATGTTTCGGATGGCCGGGTATGTCAGATTAAACGTAGGTATATTTTATCTATTTGCTATATCTTCTCTAGGAGTTTATGGTATTATTACAGCGGGCTAGTCCAGTAATTCCAAATATCCTTGTTTTGGAGCACTACAACCTGCAGATCAATTGGTTTCTTATGAAGTTTCTGTCGGTCTTATTAATATTGCACTAATTTGTGTAGGGTCTTGTGATTTTAGTGAGATTGTAATCGCTCAAAAGCACAAATGGTTTCGCATTTCCTCTGTTTCCTGTATTTATGATGTTCATTTTTTCGTGTTTAGCAGAAACTAATCGAGCTCTTCCGTGGATCTTTTCCGTGGATCTTTTCCGGGAATAAAATAAAATAAATAAATAAAAAAAGATCCACGGAAGCGAGCATAAAGAAGAAAGAGCCAAGCGTTTTGTTGGCCAAACGAAAAAAAGAAATAAAATGAATTTAAATTTCTTTCAAATAAACCAATAATATTCGTTTTTTTTCTTTTCTGCTCAAATCTGCAGGTTGCGGTCTCATGCAACGATGGAGCCCGTGATCATTGCAACTCACAGACAGCTCAGTACTCTGCACCCCATTTACCAGGCTCTGGTGCCCCATATGAAGAATACTCTTGATATCAATGCTGCGGCACGTAAGGCGCTCATAAATGCAGGTGGAATCATTGAGATGACCTTCACCCCACATGCTTACGCCATGCAAATAAGCTCTGCTGTGTACAAGCAATCGTGGCGTTTCGATGAACAGGCCTTGCCGACTGACTTGATTAAAAGGTAATTAGCCTACTTTTTTTTTTTCTTACCAGGTAGAGCTTGAAGTAGATTTGCAACGTTTGGTATTGCTTATGATTTCGTGTTGGTATCCTAAATCGTGGGCTATGACATTTGCAGGGGCATGGCAATCCCAGATAAGAACGGGGACAATGGATTGAAGTTAGTGATAGAAGATTATCCATTTGCAACTGACGGACTCGAGCTCTGGGGTGCGATCAACGAATGGTTGCGTGAATACGTTGACCTCATCTATTCGGATGATGGGGAGGTTGAGGAGGACAGGGAGCTTCAAAGCTGGTGGTATGAAATTCGGTATGTAGGACATGGCGACAAAAAGGACGCTGAAGGCTGGCCTACGTTGAATTCAAAGGCTTCGCTTGTCCATACCTTGACCACCATTGTTTGGATCGCCTCCTGCCATCACGCAGCTGTCAATTTCGGCCAGTATGAGTATGCAGGTTTCATGCCGAACCATCCGACTATGACGCGACGACTTATTCCTATGGAGGGCTCTCCAGAGTTTCTGGAGCTTGAACAAGATCCTGAAGCATTTTACTTGTCAACTATTTCAAATGAGACTCAAGCTACAGTTATCATGACCACAACAGAGGTGCTCTCCACACACTCGAGTCACGAGGAATTTCTAGGACAACGCTCCACACCTAACTGGACAAGCGATGAAAAGGTAAATTAGTTTGGGTCGATATTTTACAATGAAGATTCTGCATCTTACCATATTATGAACTATGCATACTCTGTACAAACACAACATAAAATTGAATGACTGGAGCTGTTGCAATTGGACGGAGCAGATTTCGGCTGTTTACGGGAGATTCCAAGAGAGGATAGGTGAGATTGAGGAGCTGATCAAGGCACGAAATCAAGAGAAGAGGCTCAAGAATCGATATGGCCGTGTTCAGTTACCATATGAACTACTGTATCCATCATCTGACCACGGTCTGACAGGAAAAGGCGTTCCTAACAGCACTTCAATCTGACGATAAGAAGCATTAGTGCATTGCCACGAACTCATTCTGATCGAAATATCACCTAGATTGAAGATCAGTCTTGCAGTGAGCCAGACAGCAGACGATACACTTGTAGATAGGTTTCACCGTTGACATCCAGCAAAGCAACGTCATTGTGGTCACCAGATAGTGACGTCAATACATGAGGCGAAGAGCCAAAAGTTTCTGCACGCACGTGTCTTCGACATAGTAAAATATTGTTATAAACAAAGTTTTAGATTCTGAAGGGCCCTCCATAAGTAGAAACTTCGTTTCGAACAGATACTAGTGCAGACTTAATCTGTTGATTATTTTACACTAAACTGACACCCTAAAAGGACGGAACTCCCCATGAAGTACCCCTTGAATCAAAGCCCGGCCATGAAAACTGCACTTAGGCTAAAACAATACACAACTAAGAACCTAACAACATGGTTATTCTTGTAAAACGCGCATATCTGGAGGCAACATAAATTACACGTCTGAAATATGCGGCGACGCAAGAGTCGGCCATTTCAAAGAGCAACGTTGGAAGTCTGTATGAAAGCCCATTTGGGCAACATGGGCAAGTTCCGTACATGTCCACTTATTAAACCAACACAAATTTATCTACGTCCTAAATACACTCCGAAGGAGTGCGACTTAGATAAGAAGCAGACATCAAGGAGACAGTTTGAAGCTGCTTAAGTGGTACGCAGTTGGCTTTATTGATATGGACAACATCGACGTGAATGAATGCCAAAGTTGGATGTGGGTACAAACGTACGAAGTCTAAACAAGCCTCCGAACCAACTAGCAGGAAGGAAGAGGCATCGATCAAGAGCACATCCCTCACCTGCATCCTGATATGATACGGGAAGTGAATATCCGCACACAGTTTCATTCGGTGTTTGAGAGTGTAACAAATACAATAAATGGACTTCGGGACGAAAAAATGAAGGTTATCGGAAATTCTTCCCAAGATTGGAAAACTGCTTTGGAGTTGCGAAGGTGGAGCACTTAGACTGAGTAATTAATGAATCTTTCCTCTTTGTTGGAGGCTCAGCAAGTGTTGAGAATGAAGGGGCCACTGCGGAGATCGCTTTCTTCTTTACTTTCTCTTTAAGTTTTGGGTGTTGCTCGTCGCCCTGGAAAAGAACAAACACAAGCACTTTCAGCTCAATCATCTGAAAGGACAGTTACAAATTCAATGAGCATTATCTACATCTAGGGGTGTACCCTGAAAACTCGGCCACAGTTTAGAATGAAGCCTCTATATCGTGCTGGAGGGGTATTGAGAATAAGTAGGAAATCAAACGCAATCCCACCTGTACAGCGGCGAGTACATTGGTGATGTCTTGCAGGGGTTTTCTAGTATACCACTCAGGCAAGGGACTGGAGCTCTTCCTGCCATCCCAGTTGCCGTTGGGATCCCGATTCTCCTTACCACGATCATCCTTGCCAAGACCCTCACATGGTTCTTTCATATCTACTCCAGGTGCTATCTTCCGCAGGACAGGAGAAGAAAAATCCAATTCAGACTCATTCATCAAGCTGTGAGCACTTACGACTCCCTCAGGGGGATCTTCGTAGATCTCCAGCGTTACCTTCGGTCCCTCCTTCGCAGGCAATGTCGAGTACAAACTACTCTGCAAAGTTCGCAATACGTAATCTCTAGCACCGGCCATGTTTGCAATACTCTCTTGCATGCCGTTGGAATTTCTTAGGGGAGCCCTTCGATTTGATTCTCTCTCAGATAATACGAGCTTCAAATCTTCTGAAAGTGCTCTCTGCAACGTGCTGTGATCTCCATATACTCGAGAGCAGATACCCTCCACGGTGACTTCTGCTGGACTTCCCCTGCTGAATGAACTAGTGAACCGGAGTTTGCGAGTGGTCATACCAAAATTCCTTGACACTGGACTTTGCTCCAGAATTCCTGTCTCCAGAGATGCGATGGGTTGTTGCATCCCGAACTCGCGGTGGTCACGATTCCGCTCAATGAGATTACCCCTCCTCATGATTTCTTCAACTTGATATCAGTACTATACACAGTGGCAACAGAAAGTGGAAATAAAAAGTGGCAACTTCTACTACTCGATTCGCGAGAACAAACTCGGTGACTAAGTCGTGTCACCAATAATGATTGGCAGTGTAATACTCGAAATCTACATCAGCTACAATGCAGAGCTTACAGAGGGAAGGAAAAAAAAACTGATGTGTAAGGCAAACGCCGGTACGAGGTGTTAGAGAAACGCCAGGTATGTTCTCAAATTATACTCAATACAGAAACACACACACACAAGCTAACTCTAGCATTCTCCAGACTTGACACAAGCGAAAACTGCTTGATACCAAAGCTGACAGGTAACAAAGCATCCGTCACTCAAGTCAGCAGCTCACACCGACTCAATCTCCACGCGCCAAACCACTACTTAACATTAGGCAGCTTGGCTGTGCGCCAGAGCATAGCCAAAGGTTCAATGCAAGTAGCAATGGAGCCAAAGTGCACCAACTAGCTACCAAAAACAGCAACCCTAGACACGACTGCAGCCTGCAGCACCTTCAGGAATCGCAAGGCCGCGCTGCAAACCACCGCATCACTCCTCCTCGCGAGTCCGGAAACACGCACTCACTCACATTCCCACGCAGCGCAGAAACATTCCGCAACCAGGTGACTCTCGCCCTCAGGAGCAGCCCCTACCTCGGCTCTCTCGAGAATGGAGCCTCATCGCCACAGCCACTCGCGTTCTCGTCACTCGAACCAGGGCGACCCCGCGAAACATCGGCCCAAACGGGTGTGGCCCATGGTTATCCCTCCCTGGTCACCCGCCGTTTCGCCCGGTCCAGGGTACAATTCAAATTTCGACCGTTCACAGCTTGTTGTGCCCTGCATTCTACCGTTACAATTATTTTTTAGAACAAAGTGAAATGGGAATTCCCTTCGCCTCCAAAGCATACTCCTGGGAGCACACGTGTCGGTTACAGGGTGTGACAGGGATACCTGGCGGCAATGTGATGGCTCTGACCTTGCCTGTCCCTAGTGAACTTTTCCACACTTTACTCAGTTTTATTTCACATTTTTCTATATAATTTTTAGTGTATTTATTTAGTGTGTACTACGTTGAACTGTGGTGGTGATGTTGGCTTTTAACCTCGGGCACGGAGATGGGTTCAGGGGCTAGGTTGGCGAAGTGGGTGACAATCTGAACGTGGGTTCGGTGGGGATATCGGCCACTGGGCGATGTGAGTGAATGCCGCTGCAACAAGTACTTTTACATGAATTCTTCCAGGGTCCTCGTGCAGATTGGAAAAGTCTGCAGAAGTATACCACTGAAATAGGAACGAGGCGATGAAGGTTATTGAGGGCTGTACCAACTCAATCCAATTGTGTTATACATCTTCGTGAACGGACTGTGGGACATCTGTCTTCCCCTGTGAGTGCTGTTCACGACGGCTGCAACATGAAAGGGAAGAGTGCAACAGGGATAATGGATTCGCACAGGCGCAACAACAGATCAGTTAGGCACACTTGAAATGTGTGCAAATGTGATGGACTATTGGACTCAAGAGGATTTTTGAACGAGTGTATAATACAAAGGGTTAACAATGTCAACATTGAATGGTATGTGCTACATGTTCAGACAATGCTCATCAGGAAACTGTGAACATATGTCAATTGACGATACATGCACTTGAGGCCACAAGCGATTGTGTACTTGATACCCAAATTAAATCCTACCATTGGGAAACAAATAACAGGAACTGTCGACCTGCAGATGGTAAAATTTTCATAAACCAGGGCTGCACCTTCGTGATATTTCCCTTCGGGATTAGTGTACATGTGCGATGACCGCGCTACGAAAGCTACATAATAAGTGTGATTCGAAACTTAAGCGCGCACTATAAGAATTGAACATACTTCTACCATGGTTTAGTGTACCATACAACAATGCGGAAGTGTCATTAATGATAGCTCCTATAAAGCATGACGCAGAGTGTCGGTTATTCACGTTTTTTCAGGTAGGCATCATCCATGATCAGGACTGTTGGACCAAATTTTGAGTCCAGCTCTCAAATGAAGGGGTATGTCATCTTGTAATGAGATGACTAGTCAACAGGGGCGAAAGAGACATTCACCAGCAGTGAATCTCTCTTCCGCTTGTGTAGTCATCAGCAGCTTGAACTATATTCAATTCGTTTTTTAAAGTGTCACAAACAGTGACCAACTAAAGAATATGCTATCACCTAAAACCTTTCCTAAGATTGAACACTTGCCTCGACGCTACGCCGCTCAACACCGTCGGTCGACTGACACCTAGACACTGCTTCCTGGGTGGAGTCTCAACCAAAGTTAACAGTGATGATCCCGTACCATCAATCATGTTCTTGTTGCGCTTTTTCTTTGGTGGTGGAAGTTTATCATCCTGTTACAGACCTCAAAGTCAATGACATCCAACGGATTGACACAATGTTATACTGGTTTCTAATAATTTGCCCATTAACTAGGCTACTACTCACATGCAAATCCTTGTCCAAACTCAATTCAAAAGATTCAACAAATGGACTCCGTACAGATATAGATACGCTCAAGTGACTTGAAGCAGATGAATCATTAGAATGAGTAGGCATGCTGTTCGAGTTACTCAGCAATGAATATGTAAACAATACCGGATCGGAAACCAAAACATTGGTGATGTCTTGTAAGGGCCTCCTCGGGTACCACTCCGGCAAGGGACTTCGGGTGTAAGTCACAACCCCCTCAACGATAGGGTCCTGATTTTCCTTATCAGCGTCATCTTCGAATTTACTTTCGACTACCTTATCCGATCCAACGCCGGTCCCGATTCTCCTCAAATCGATAGGAAAAATTGAGTTGCTCGACTTACGGACCACTCTCTGGAAAGTATCTTCACTTTCAGCCGGATCATTGTCCTCATACACTTCAAAGACAGGGACCTCGGAATCATTTAAGAGACCGTAACCTGCACCTGACACGCTAGCATCATGTTCGTGTAGATCATTCGACCTTTCATCGAACCTATTCCCCGTAAATTGTGCCCTTCGACTTGCAATCATTTCAGACAGCCGATCCACATCCACATCTCCCCTAGTCCTGTGGGTTCTTCTGTGATAATCACCCTCTGGATAGGCTGAATCCTCCAGGGCTGACATATCCTCTACGCACTCTTGGCTCATCGCAAGAGTGAACCTCAACCTGCGAATGGTCGTGCCGAAGTAACTTGGCACCACACCATAGTTTAGGACAGCATCCGCGGACACAAATTCACAGGGAATTACATACTCCCAGTGTCCGCAATTATCCTCCTCATGCTGGTTCCTCTTCATCTCTGACAGATCCCTTGAATCCGTTTTCCCAATCGGCTGGAGTATATGTAGAGCCTGTAAAACGCCAGTGCAGGTGGAACAGCACTCACAGTACCCGCACTTGATTCACGATGCGAACAACAGTACCTTATTTGCCCAATCCTTTCATCGTCTGGGACAACGAGCGAGTTGTTTTCTTGTCAGATCGGCAAGTTTTGTCGAACACAGTGTCACCAGGTCATTATATTGTACATCCACGACAGCTTTGCAAATTTTAGCAAACACGTCAGTGTGCAATAGTTTGCACTGCCATATCAAATGCCAAAACGCGACGACGTCCCATGGCCTGAATACAGGTGATCGCAAGCAACGACTACAACATCCACAAACGAACTGCCTCTAGGAGCTCCGAGAAAGCGAAAGTGCCCATAGACAAAGACACCCCACACGTACAGCATGGGGCTCCGTGTCAAACAACCTCCGACACAGACACACCCGTCACCATAATACGGAATCGGGAAGAACCAAGACTGGCCTTACCACAGCCTGCCTTCGTCGTGCACCTCCGCTCAAATCAGAAAACCCAGGCACTGAAACTTTTAAAAGAGAATCAAGCTATTCCGTATTAAACGACCAGAAACAACATACCAACTCTTCAAGACTATCACATCAATTCACACATAGACTGAAACGGACCGCGGGAGAAGCCACGCACGCTTGCTCTCTACTCAAGATGTGTCAACAGATTGACTCGTCTCAGGCGACATACACTCCCAGCAATAGAGAGGGCCAGTGTACACATGGAGAACCGGTGGGCGGGGTGGCCCAAAGAAATGGCGGCTACAGAGATGAAGCTGGCGCTTCCCCGCCCAAAAATTTGAAATCAGATCGAGGGGCGGCATATCGTTTTACCGGGTGGGGGTGGAGGGAAGGACGATCTCGCGCCAATTTCAAATTTTGAACCTCATCCGGTGCGGCCCGGTTTTTGTGACTGGTGATATCCAGTCGATTGGACTAACCGTGATGGAGTTGGCAAGGTCCGTCCGGTGGGATCCACATTCGTCCAAGTTAGAGCTCTGTTCATCCACCTTGCAATGATTGGAGCGAGGAGGAACGTGGTTTGGACTATGTGCACCATATCACAACATTGTTGTGATATTCATATTTTCACGTTAGAAAATAAATTATTAGAAAAAATAATAATTAAATAAATTCATGATCTTGTATGCAGAAAGTATATTGGAAGCTTTAGTGATGTCCAAAAATTCATTAATATTATTATTATTATTATGTTTTTGTATGAATTAAGATTTATGCACAATGTAAAAATGAAGGAAAGATATAAATATATATATATATATATATATATATACCAAAGCGTATAAAATAATATATCTTGTAAAACTTCACTGAATTATATATATATATATATATATATATATAATTGTGTTTAACTCAAAGATCATTTAATTCTCAAAATGGATTCACAATTTACTTTTTTGAGACACTCTTAGTAATGAAGTTGTGTGTTTGATCCTGTAAATACTAAATAAAGAAATAAAATTTGACAAATTGACTATATTTGTGCTTAATAAAAATTAAACCTCTTATTCAATAAAATATTATTTTTACATTTGATTACTTGTATTATAATAAAGTTGATAAAACAAGATGAATCGTCAAATAATATGTTTACTTAAATGCATTAACCAAAATCATAGGAATGTAATAAGTCAAAATTAAAACCAGGGAAAAACAAATATTATTTAAAAAATCCTATTTGTATGAAAAGATATTATTTTTTTACAAAATAGTTTTTGCATAAAAATGCTTCTTTTAATACAAAAATAAAAGGTACTAAGATTGAACCATTTAAGAAAAAGAAATATTGTCTTTCCGAAAATCTATATGAATTTAATATATATATATATATATATATATATATATATATATATATATATATTACAAAAAATTTACTTAGGAAGCTAAATGATTGTATAACCATTGCAATAACCTTAAATAATTAATATTTATATCTAAAAGAGATGATTTGGAGATGAAAATGTATTATAAAATAGTTACCAAAAATTACTATAATCTTTAAAAGTTGTATAATATTTTTTCTTAGTTGAGAATAAAAAATTATAATTATTTAAACCTTCTTAAGAATTTAAATTGATAAATGAATACACATAAATAAATCAAGTCATTGAATTAATTTACTGTTATTTTTATATAGATTTATTTTTAAAAATATTATTAAAAAAATCCCAAAATTATTCACAATATACATAGATATGTTAGATAAAAAGAATGTGATAGATAAAACTATAAAAGTTATTGTATTGTATATGTATATTAAAAATTGATTAAAATACTATTATATATATATATATATATATATATATATATATATATATATTTATAAATTTGTATTTATATCTCTTTATCTCTAAAGAAGGCAATTTTAGAACTTTAAAAACTTACTATAATATTTAACAATTTTTATTTGTAAGGTGTGTACCATCAAGCTCTAACCAATTCAAATAGTAATATGGCTTAAATTAGTGGTTTGGTATTCACATAGGTAAGTTTTTTACTTATAAAGGTTAGACAAGTAATGTAATTGAAAGACTTTCTTTAAGTATTATCTAAATACCTTTAGAATTTGAAGAGGTTTTATAACATTTTAGAAGCTTCCAAAAGTTTGCAAAAAATATGGAACTTTTTAACATTACAATACTATGAAAGAAGCAAGAATAAATAGTGGTATTGAAGAACATTGGATTTAAAAGGGTGTGATGGTCAAAAAAAAAAATCTTTGTATATCATCATAGTTTGACTATTTCCAATTCACTACTAGTTTTATATTACTCATTTATATGTTTAATAATTTTTTTAAAGATGTATATGATAATATTGTATAAAATCAAAATTGTCTTTTGTCAATACAAGAAAGATAATCCTAAGTTTACATATAATCAACTTAAGGACTAGCTCAAAAACATATTCAATACCATGGTTATTTAAACAACCATATCCACAATCCTCAAGCATTCAACAGAGTTGTCCAAAAAGGTTAATTATACAAATTTGAAGAATAAAAATCAAAGAATTATTAAGTATATGTTAATAGAATCAGCAATTGTCAAATGGTCTCATTTAAACCATGAGCATATCAATATCAATGGTAATTTGCTCAATAAAAAAGTAACTATCATCTTAATCAATTAAACTTAGACATAACAAGTTTGTATTGTCTATTAGGAGGCTAAAGACATTCAAGAATCGCCATAGAATCCACTCTTTCTATTATTTTGGAGAGAGTGGATTAGTTAACATGAATATTGTTGTGAATTCTTTTCTTTTGATTTGTGAGACCCTCAATAAGTTTGAGTAGAAAAATATTTATAACTTGGACAAAAGTAACATTTTCTACTACATAAATATAAATTACTATATAATATGCATTGTATATATATTATATTTTTATGCTAATAAGCTTTTAGAATGCTATTTGCTAATCTTACTTTATGTCCAAGTAAATAATTCTTTGCCCAAAAAACAATTTGAAGGAAAAAAAAAAAAAAAAACACTTAGAGAATTGCAATGATTTTGTATTGCAACAAAGATGACATTAACAAGCTTTCTTTTTAAGTTATTAAAAAGTTCAATAAGCTAAGATATTTTAAGAATATCAATCAATCTAATCTAAATTTTATATACTAGAGTAATATCAAGGCTTTGATGACACAACTAATCTTTGTAAAATAGCTCAAAGCCTTTGATAGGCATGTGGCAAATCAAATTTTTTTCTCATTTTGAATAATTACAATGTGCATATCTCAATGATAGGGATTTTCAATCATGTCTAGTTGCAAAATACCATAGTCTATTATATCTCTCTAAATACAACCTCCAAGATTTAATCTTGTAATTCTAAGATCATTTAAAATTTAAATATCTATTAATGATATACTTCTATCACCTTTTTTTTTTAGTATCTTGATGATGACATTAAAGATTCCAAAAAAATTAGCATTCTAGATGTCATTTACATGGTTATACCAACCTAAGCTTAAGATGTAAAATAAAAAATCATCCACAGCTATTTCAACTACTATCAAATTTTTATAGAAGAAACTAGATAACTTGCTATTACGAATTTAGAATACAGACTGGAAATCTAAATAAGAAGCTCTAGAAGAATTGGCAAGAACTAGATTAATGAGATGAGTATAATAACAATACTAGAGAGGTGAGCTAGAGCTCTAAAAGATGTGTTGTCGAGACTGAGGATCTTCTCAGTCTCGGTTCCTATATTTACTTCAAGCTAGGAAGCTTCTCAAGTAGCTTCCACAAACTAGGAAGCTTCTCAAGCAGCTTTCATAATCTATGAAGCTTCTTAAGTAGCTTCCATGAATTAGGAAGCTTCTCAAGCAGCTTCTATAAACTACAAAGCTTCTCTAAAACCTTTTAGAATCTTCTACAACTTTCTAATGTATGTCCTTGATATCATCCCCCCCTATAGCTTCGAGGTCTCTGAGAAGCACTCCTATTACGAGTCAGTACCAACGTAAGAAGTTAAAAATTTGTCGCATAGTGTCTCAATATATTCCAATTGTTATTCGTGCGGTAAGTAGTTCATTGGTCCTTGTAACCAACGATAGTGTCCTACTCTTTCAATTTCCAACCAAGCATGAACTTCCATGTCTTCATTGTGAAAATACCATACAAACACTCCTTTTCGAAGATCACCTTAGGCACGTTCTATCTCAAATATAATCACTAGTGACCTGTTACTAGGTATCCTCCGTCGTCTTCGTGGTATATGTGGTTCTTCATCTCGGGGTCGTCTTCATGAGATACTTGGTTGAGAAGACATAACTAATATGGTATCTATCTCTTGGCTATCCATATCACACCAAAAAATATAAATACTAAATATGGAAGAATGGACTCAAGTTACAGATTTATAGTCTCTAACTATGTCTTTTAGAGGTTCTTTCTCTCCCTTCTTTGTAAAGCCGAGGATTAAGAGACTTCAAGGAGAAGGAACTTCAATGAAAAAATTTCATCAAAAGGACTTAGATTTCTGAGGATAGTGTCGATGAAAGTCTTGTACTTTTTGGAACACATTGATAAGATTTTTCACTGGATCCCATGTGCGTTCATTGATATCATAGCCGCTCAAATGCAGTAGATATTCCAATTTCTTCCACTTATGCCATGAATCTAGTACCTTTTTTACCTCGTATTCCCCGTGGTTTTCAATTTTAATACTAGGTGGCAGACATTGCACTCTTCCAGGAAAAGATGATTCTTGATAAGGTTCCAAAAAAGAAACATGAAAGACTGGGTGTACCTTCATAGTAGCCGATAATCCCAGACGGTACAAAATTGGATTAATTTTCTTCTAGATGATAAATGGTCCCAATCTCCAGTAGTCCAACTTATCACATAGCCGTTTGGTTTTGATATTCTGTCGAAGTAGCTATACTTTATCTCCAATTTTGAAAGTAGGTGCCTAATTCCAAAATTTAACTGCAGACATCTTGTAAGCTTCTTGGACAGTTTGCAATTGAAGTTTCAAAGTAGTTTGAAGCTCCAATAGTTGTTTCACAAATCCTTCAATTGCTAGGTTGTTATTAGTTGAGAGACTCAACAAATCAAGCTTCGGATGATATCCATAGTTAAAAAAGAATGGTGTTTGTTGAGTCGACGCATGAAGGGTGTTGTTACATGCAAACTTGGCTAATGATAGATATGCAGTCTAATCATCTTGCTAGTAGTTGATGCTGCATCGTAAATAGTGCTCCAAAGTTTGACTCACTCATTCTGTTTGGCCGTCAGTTTGAGGATGGA